TCGACTTTTTCATCGGAATGTCTCCTCCCACTGTGTGTCCCTGTATGGCTCGATTGAACCACTGACAGTCAGCAAGCAATTCCTCGAATTCGTTCTCTGGGATCTGGTGGATGATGTCGTCGTCGTCACATGGCGGCTTGGCGATGCGAAGTGGATAAAGACCAGCCAAGTCTGGCCAGCTGGGGTACGTACCTATCTGGCAGGGAATGCTTCAGTTGGCGTTAGTGCACCGGAATCAATCCCCTGGGCGATCAGACTTGATAAGAGACACCGACACTCTTCGTTGGTCCTCGACATTTGCCGATTTTACTGCGGTAAACAAGGCTCTTAAATTTTCTGAAAAAGACCGAAAGCCAATGAGAAGGGAATGAACAGAATAGGATCGGGAAGACAGTCATGATTGCTTGGCTAAAAAGAAAGAGGATGCTGCCTTCCTGGAATATAGAATAGGGCCTGGCTGCTTCTCACGAAGCGGAAGGAATGTACCGGGGAGGCCCGGGCAAGAACGAACGGAGCAGGTCCACCGAGATTTCACAGTCGGACTTCTACCCAAACCTCATGCGTCACCACAGGCACTTTGCAGCAATTGCATGTGTCTCATTTGGTGTACAGTTCAGCCCAAACTTCAGAAGCGAGGCCTCTCTCATCCATACAGCATAACTACAGCAAAGCCGAAGATATCGAAGCTACAGAATCTGATCACGGACCTTCATGCTTGATTCACTGACATCGTGTACTGACTATTTGGCCGTCTTTTCAAGATAGAGACCGGCGAAAGGCCAGAGTTGAACATTGGGGTCTAAAAGACACGCGGAAGATGTCAAGAGCTAAGAAGTAAACTTCCGTGTCTGAGGCGCTTGGCGCTTCATCGGTGACGCCGTAAACCCTTGGCGGTTAGACAACGCCTAGCCGCTATAAGGAGCATAGACGCTTCCAAGCCTTCCAAGCACGGCATCTGTCTTCTTGACCCCAATGATTAACTAGCCCAAGAGACTCAAGAGTGGCTGTGCAACCCTCTTGACATCTATACGCGGGTTGGAGTTTGGAGGTTTCAGCCCGTAGCATGTTTCGCAGGCAATGTGGGCAACATAAACTAGAATACGAGGCTTCGATGAAACAGGTGATGGTTAACACATGCTAGGGCTTATTAAGGTACAGTTGCAACACTAAGTACATACCACCTTCGTAACGACCAAGTCATGTGTGTAAGACAAGAATACGATTCTATAACAACGCTATACCGCTCGATAGTGTAGGGGCTAACTTCGCAGTGAGATTTAGTAGTCAACTGTTTGGCTTCGCTCGGCTAAACAGAAGCTATGTGTACGCGGAACAATTTTTGCTTCCATGCGAAAGACATCGTCTTGAACACTGGCAACAAGTGAGAGCATCACGACGCAAGGACTTCTCGTTGTTCGGTAGTGTGAGAATTTTCTGGAGCTAAAGACATGCGAAACAGAATGTAACCCTGAATGGAAGGGTTGTTAGCTCGAGACCTATGGTCAACATCAACTGGGCGGTTCTCACATCGAGTTGATGTGTTTTGTTCGATGGTGAACCTAATCTTGCCGTGAGTATACCGATCCAGATATCGATGATGTATTATGTTCAGTCCATACCTAGGCTTTCAAGGTGGTGCCTTTGTTGCAGGTTGGATAGGTCTCAGTGAGAGAGGACCAAGGTAACAATTCAACCAGTATGGGACTGCACACACATACGGAGATGTCTCAAGAGCCCAAGTACGTCATCTATAACTTGATGCTTGAGTCTACACGCAGATACATGATCGGAACTCTTACCAGAGATCTTTCAATGACCGATATCCAGAGAAAAGGCTGGTGCATGACACAAACGCTATCAGATTATTCCTTGGTCTGGATGCGTTTGCTGTCATAGTCCATAGCAAGCAAGTGGCCAGTCATGGCATGCTTCATTCATCGTGATGACCGTCTGGATTGCAGACTGGCTAAACCCTGATTTCAGACACCTATTCAACTATCATCCAAAACACTATGGTCGACTCAGGTGCCAATGATTCAATGATACAATGTGTACATTCACCTACCAGAGGGACGGGTGATCCGCACATGGTTCACACAGAGGTTCTTACTTGACCACACCACATGCCTGAAGCGGATGAAACCAAGATCTTTGCCCAGTACATACGTGCCCGTTAATAAAGGACACTCGGAGCGAGGTAGCATCCCAGAGGCTGTAGGTAGGTACCGAAATTGAAAGATCTGGTGTGTTGTGTAACACGAGCCCGGAAGTTACTTTTGCGATTTCTAACTTTTCGTTGACGTTGAAGGCTTGATTGAGCCGTGTCCACCTGCAGTGTCACAACCGATCAGACTTGGGATTGCCCAATACATAAAAGACTTGTAAGAACCCAATCGCAACTTTCAAAAAGCAGTTATGACGATACTCGGAGCCTTATTGGATTCGAGTCTTCATAACTCGAACCAGGCCACTTGCTTGGGACGAGCTACCCCACGGCTTGTACTTAGTTTCTTTGGAGCATCAGACAACCAAGTGAGAGCTGAACGTGGGAAGCTAGGCAAGTGGTGAGTACAGTAAGTGGAATGGAGAGAGAGCGGCTGTGTTCTCACGGTAAGATGAAGACTACTGTGGTGTATTAATACAAGATCAATACCCACAGGGAACGGCTTGGGGGCACCGCTTGTACAATAAATGATGCGGCTTCATTCACTCGACATACCAAGCTCTCTGAGCGCAGCAAACGGTTCTTCATCCCTTGATTCGTTGATAAGAAGCTTCCTAGGGTTAAACTCCGTACCATTGACGTGGCGCAAACAAACATCCAGGCTTTCGCTCGTCGGAGTCCAAGGACTGTTTAGATGAGATTCTGCACTTGCAGGATGCTCCCATGGCGAACCCAACGGCTATGAGTCTGTTGACAGGAAGGTGATCGATGTTTTTTCCTTCGAAAATCGGTATTAAGTGTTTGAACGAGGCCCGGGATCCGTCACTAGTGACAAGCCGAACCATCGCCACAGGCCTGATGGTAGTGTTCCCACGCTTTTCTTCCATGAGCTATAACCAAATCCACAATCGAAAGAACCACAACTCCAGGAACCGAAGGCCGTTTCTCTTTGAAAAAGCCATGGGCGGTGTATTCGCGTATGCCTGGGCTTGCCATGGGAGAGGCGGGCTGTGACGATCGCCTTCTCTTTCGTGCCGAAGCAGAGGTCAAGCATGCAGTTAAGCAAGGGATGATGGTGACCTTAATGCTAGTCCCGATATGGTGTTTCGTTCTCTGCCGACTCTTCACTGACTGATCACCATTGGGGAGCAAATTACCTCAGAAGGCGTGATGAAATGCAGATGACTGGGTCAAGATCCAGTAGTAAGTAATATCAAAGGAAGCAGTAAGTGGCTTTGCGTGCTGTTTGCTCGGGGTTTTCAAGGGAGGGCTTACATAGAAGAAGGCATTCGGGGACTGGTCAAAATCTCTGGCTTGTCAGGTCCAAATAGTGGTCAGCGGGCACAAAGTGAGACGGGCGGAATGCTGATGTCTGGACCAAATGAACAAGCGCGTGCGGCACGCCCCCATGGACGGTTCTCACGCGACCATTGCAAACGACTTTTGCGGTTCCTCGCTGCTGAAAAAAATAGGTCGACTGTATCGAGTCCTTTTGATAGGTCTCGAGAACCCCCCTCAGCAGATCCCCTCTATGCTTCGAGGTTCCATTTCTCAATGCCTGCTGCGTGCCCCTCTTGCCCTCCTCCCCGCCCTCTCTCCCCCAACTTCTCGCCCTCTCTGTGGTGGCGGGCCAAGCAGGCGATTGTCACTGTGTGTTTACAATGAAAACCTCGCAGCAAACGAGTCAATGCGGGCGTATTATTAGCGGCTTCATTCTCCGAAATGGCAGGCTTTCAAGGGTTTCCGTTTGTTGCTCAAGATGGTGTATCTATCAGATTCGAATGCGTGCATCTCTTTGTGACCTTTGGGCGAGTTGAGGGCGCGATAGAACCTTACACGGGGTTATTAAAAGTGTTTGTTCGCCGCGTGGCCGGAGCGTGAACCGGCAGGACTCCGTTCGAGTCCCGTGTCGCCCCCGCCCGTCCAGTCTGAAGTGGACCCGTACCTCTACTAGTACAGTATACCTAGGTACGCTAGTAGGTACATCTCCCCGCTGCGCGCCGTACACTTTTCGCGTCTTGTCACGCACCTTCCCTTGCACCGCAGTGCACCGCATTTGTGAACCTCATTGCCCTGCACTGCACGAGGGACGCACGACGCATCAGTTTGCGCTAGAATACCGGCAATATTGCACCACATCTGGTATAATTTCTGTATTGTCGCATGCCTTAGTACGCTTGCCCACCTAGCAACCGTCGTCACGACTGGCTCTTTTTTTTCTCGGTTTCTTTCCTTCTCTTAGATGCGCCCAGTCAGAAAGCCTTTTGGCCAAACATTGACATCGCCATTGCCCGTGGAATCTGTCCGCGTTACTGCCCGCACCACCCGACGCCCTCGACGGTCCCGCGGCGAAAGTTGGAAGCACATGGGGAGAACCGAAAGTTTACTCACGCCTACTAGTCCAGTCCGTTCCCAGACACTCCGAGTTCCCTCGACCTGCCCCGACTCTTCGCATTTCTCACACTACAGCTTTCGCGACCCCTCTGCACAGCTTCTTAATCGGAAACACCACTCTACCTCTGCTCCACACAAGCTGTCACTCTAGCTTTCCAACCACTTGCGTTTTTCACGATCGGACGAAGAAACAGAACAACCATACTACCTTCACGCAGTAGTATCGAATATATGCCTTCACGATAGCCGCGATCGTCTTCCCAACATAAGCCCGCGACTGAGCTTTCCCCCTCTACAGCTATCGCCATCGTCCCACGGCCTTTGCCGATTTGTTGGCAACCAGCTGGGTTGTCCACCACGCTCGAGTGTGCCGGGACATTGGCCTTGGATACGGATGCCTTGGATGCTTCCCCAAAGCTACCATCATGGAAGAAATCTCAGACTCCCAGCTGGAGGCTACCCAAGGTGGGCTTGTTCCCGTGTTCCCTCTAGCATGTCTGATGCTGTATCTCCTTGAACTAACCATTGGGACTTGTTCTGGCAGCCACTCAAGAGATCCTCGACCCTCGCCGGCTTGGAGAGCAACACTCGGGCTTTTCTGACGAGGACCTAGCTGATATAATATGCATCCTTATCCCGTACACCGTTGGCGCAATGAAAGTGGTGACAAGGATGGTCGATGTCGCCCCCGCATTCGTCATGGAGCGAAATGATACCAACCAAATCCACATGGACTTCGGCAACGACCATGAGAACACGTCCGTTCGTGCGCCTGCAGAGCCTTCGGAACTTCACCTCGCCTTTCGGTTCTCGTCCGAGCTCAAAAACCCCCTCGAAGGCTTTGTTTTTGGACGGGGTCACGAAGTGTGTGATGTCTCCGTTAGCCCCAAGCTGAAGTCTGTCAGCAACAAGCACTTCAAAATATGCTTCAACGAGCATGGCATCTTGATGATTGAAGACCTGTCATTCAACGGCACAAATGTGAACGGGAAATGGATATATTCAGCACGAAAACCTCGGGAAGGAGAGCATCCCAAAATGTGGACACTGGGGAGTGGATCGGTGATAAGAATTCTCGGTGCCCAGCCAGGGAAGAGTGAAGAGGTAAAGCGTGAGGAAGACATTGTCTTCCTGGTTAGGGTTCCAAACCGCCATGGCAGGCACGCCGAGGCCTATAAAGACAACCTAGTCAAATACTTATTGCAACGGACGGAGGTGGATGTAAACAAGACGATCGTGCCCGGACCAGGGGGGCGGGTAAGGCAATGTCCAGATTCAACTTCAGATGCATATTCTGACACTTCACAATACAGGTTGATCTATTCAGAGACTCTCCGCAAAAGCCCACAGTCCGCGCCCCTGTGATTGCCATGCGTCAGCTATCGCCATCATCCATGCTTGGATCTTGCGGCATGAGGACTTGGAAGGGGTCTGACAAGTACAACTTTGTAGACAAAATCGGGCAGGGTGCCTTCGCTACGGTGTATATGATCACCGACAAGATGAACGGACGTCCATACGCCGCCAAAGAGCTCGAAAAACGGAGGTTCATGAAGAATGGTGTGCTTGACCAAAAGGTCGAGAATGAGATGAAGATCATGCAACGAGTATCTCATGTAAGTCACTATATCGTCCCGCGGCTAGAGTTGACATTCAATTTACGTCAACCCGGCACAACACGGCTAACGTCCTAATCTACAGCCGAACATTGTTCAGTTCAAGGAGCACCTGGATCCCGATGATAAACACCTTTACATAATCATGGAGTTTGTCGGTGAAGGTGACCTGGGAAAGTATATCGGCGCAAAAGGTCCCTTTTCCGAGCCAGATACCAAGACGATAGCGAGGCAGTTGGTGGACGCTCTTGGGTATCTGCATGATATGAACATTACTCACCGCGATGTTAAGCCCGACAACATCCTCATCCAATCCCGGTTTCCGCTAGTCGTCAAGCTCACAGATTTTGGGCTTTCCAAAATGATCGATCACGACGCAACATTCCTTAGGACGTTCTGCGGTACGTTGCTCTACTGTGCGCCCGAAGTTTATGCAGAGTTCGAAGAGTACGACGAATTTGGCCGGCGAAATGTGCCTCGCAGCTACCCGCGTCAACCTCGCCGGAGTCAGAGATACGATCACAACGTCGATATCTGGTCCTTGGGCGGTGTTCTATACTTCGCCTTGACCACCCAGCCACCGTTCCCTGCTAGAAACGGTGTCGGTCACACTGAGTTCCTGCACCAGGTCATGACAACTGTACCCAACCTCGCCCCGCTCATCGAGGCGGAAGTTTCGCCTGAGTGCCAAGATTTCTTGGGGCAGATGCTCCGTCGAAGACCTGAAAACCGGGCAACAGCACAAGAGTTGCTGAACCATGAATGGATCCACACCTCTCAAGATCCTTCAAATGTCGCGCCGTCTTGCCCACAAAATGGCGGAGTAGACGAACTGCTGGAAGCTGGAGCGTCTCAGCTGAGTTTGACCGACAGACCGGCGGCGACACCGAGAGGAGATGCACAAGGAGATGTCAACGTTGCGAGTGAGGACAACTTGCTTCAACAAGAGCTGATCGATGACGAGGAGCATGTCAGCGACTTCGAGCAGGACAAAGAGAACTATGCCTATAGGCCGGCCACCCAGAACGGACGTTTGTATGGTGAAGTTGGCCAGTCGGCGCTGGGAAGCCAGGGGGATGTGGCCTCAGGACGCTTAAATCTGCCCGCCACGCCAATAAGCGTAGAAACTCCCAAGCTGTTCAGGTCTAAAGATGAGATTCCGGACAGTCAGGACAACTCTGAAGATGAAGAAGACACTCCTCGTCAAAGCAATCCACACACGCAGCGGTCACAGCCGCTTCTGGGTGATTCAAGTTATTTTACTTCGTCCGACGCGAGCAGGTCAGTCGACGTGGTGAACAACACCATCTTGGGAGCCAATTCGCAAAGCCTGGAGGGTGCTGAGAGCATAATGGGCCCACTCAATATGCAGTCCCGCCATGGCCTTGCTATACCATCGGTTGGGACTGACTTGAATAGGAGCAAACGGAAATCTTTCTTCGCAACAAACACCACCAATTCATGGTCGTCGATTGAAAATGAGCCTGTCTCCAAGAAGCGTCGATCTAACAGGGGGGTAGGTGCTATTCTGAACCGGAAGATAGCACCCATCGAGAACGAAGATGAGTTACTCGCCCAGGTGCCCATGATCAGGTCCTATCCAAAGGTCACACCGCCAGCCCCGGAACCACAGATAAAGTCAGTGTATTGGGACAACAAGAACTTATCTACCTGTCATCTGAACTATCCTGAGATGACAGTGGCACAATGGAACGCCTTCCGTATCGCGGCTGAGAACAGGAAAAAAAGAGATGGGTCAAATGAAAAGTTTGAGCCAGGTAAAAGCCCATTATGGGCTCTGGCCGAGAAATACTTTCCGCCCATGAGCAAGATCGAGACAGACCAACCCCTTTTATGGGCTTTGGCAAAGGAGAGCGGGGTTGTGACAGAGACATCTCAACGAAAATCAATGGCAATCTCAGAGGGGGGTTGCTTACGGTCATCATACGAGTCCATACTACCTTGCATTTCGATCAGACTAAGCAAGTCGATAGTTACCTGGGGCAGGTCATCAGAGAACACCGAACGCTATCCCGACGAGCATGAGCATGCAACGAGGATACCGGAATGCGCGTTGAAGATCATGGTCTGGAGGGAAAAGAATTTCGACCCCTCCAACCGCCTTATGCCCTGGATTCAATACTATGGCGACAACGAGGACTTGTATTTTTACGTCGCCACCAAGGCCACCGACGGAATCTATGTCAACGGCAAACACTTAGCTTCGAACGAACCCAGTGACCGAAAGAGCATCTGCAAAAATTGGATGCGACTCTACAACGGCGACAGGATCATCGTCTGGAACGATCCCAAGGACGATGGCACCCTCAGCAAGATCGAAGTCGTCTTCGAGTGCAACTGGGGCGGCAGTCGATTCAGCCGAGAGTCTTCCGAACACAAAACGCCAGAACTGGTGAGCGAAGAGGTGGCCAAGAAGCTGGACGAGGTGTGCGTCGACGCCGAGAGGAAAGCCAAGAAGTATCATCCCCTCCACGAGATGTACCCGCCGGATACCGCGGATTCCGAGGAGCGTAAGGCACGCATCGGTTGGGAAGAAAAGCTGTCGCGAAACTTTCAGAGACAGGTTGAAGAGGCGAAGAAGGCGATGCCGCTGGTGGCCAAGGGTACTAATTCTCGGTATTCTGGAAGCTATTCTTTTTCTAGTAGCTCCTCTTCCGGCTCGCGGCAGTCATGGGGAGATCTTGGGATTTGATAAGAGTTTTTGTGGTTTTCTTTTTTTGGATATATAAAGGTGACTGTGATCTGGGGATGGGGAAATAAATTTTCTCGAAGTTTAGATGTGTGTGGCGCATCCATCTTTATCTATCTTCCCCTCCTGTTGCTGGCCTATGGAGTTTTGATGCCTAGGCTTCATATCTTGCTACATTCATAGGTAACTTCTTTTAGAGCGTGGGGGCAAGACAGATGCCGAAAATGACAGAATTACTTTGAAGGACTGAGTGGCAGAAGCGCACATCCCAAATCGAAATATCATGAGTGACAGTTAGGAGTGAGTACCTTATCATTTCCGCCATTCTCCCTCGGTGGCATGATACCATAAAATGCGAGCGGAAAACATTTCAACGCCTACCTAGTCGTGAATCTCTTTAACCGTGTTTTGCGCCATTCTTTTCCCGACAGGGTCTGTAGCCAATGACGTTTCGCAAACAACAAAATGCAACCCTTTCGCTACTTCAGGCTACTTTCCGAGTATCTTAGCAGGACGCTATAAGTCCTCTGACAGAGCCACTAGCTGCTTAGAAGCTGGGTACTCTGAAGTTTTTATGGGCCGGGAAAAAAATGGCGCAAAATACGGTTAAAGAGATTGCTACGAAGTCATCCAACAAGTAAATAGGTACAGTTCATCACCACTTCCTGAACTTACACACTCGAGCTCCTCCGAGTCCAAGGCCAGCTGCCGGACGAACCGTACCTTCCTTCCCGTCCTTGCTTGCCGCGGCTGCCATGCCACTCCTTCATCCGATATCAAGCCCACCCCCTAATCTATATATATATATACAGCAGAACAGCCGCTATGAACCATATAAGGGACCTAGTTGGTCCCCTCACTCTTTCTAACAACAACCGCTTAGGTGGTCAGATGGCATAGTGGCATACCGTTTGACTCCTCAAAACTTACCTACGCTAGGTAAATATTTATTTACCTGTCCGGATTGGGAACGGTGTGTTTGGTGTGCTAAGACACGTAGCCAGGGGTCTTCACCACCTACCTAGACTAGTAGCCGGTCTACCTGTATGGTGGTATCTGGGAACACTCCCGTCGACAGAGGCAATAACAGAATTGAGGAGGCTTAAACGGTTCACGCCACTGCTCTGAACGAGCGGTTGTTGTTTTTTTTGCTTCGTTTTTTTTTTTTGCTCTTTTTTGTTTTGTCCGCAGAGAGAGAGGTAGTGCGTTCGAACCAGTTCAGTTCGTCGATAACCTCTTTTTTTTTTTTTTTTTTTTTTTTTTTTTTTCTTGCCTGTATCCTTACTTGAACACGAACTAGTAAGTAAGAGAAGGGTGCTTGTATGTATATAGTATAGACAGTTATATAAAGAAGACTCGCTTGCTACTCTAGTATAACATGGAGGTGAACACACACCAAGATCCGTAACCGACCGCTGTTTGGACATTATGGACTTGCTTGCTCCTAACAGAGTGATCTAATAGACATAGATGAAGTAACATGAAGATAACCAAAAAGGGAATGAACACAATGGAGAATAACAAGAAGAAAAAAACCCGCCAACAAAAACCCCATGATTTTTTATCCAGACAGCCAAACTTTGTAAAGTTCGTGCCTGAAGAGTCTGCCTGCTCCAGATACTCTCATTCCTTCCTCAGAAAAAACCTAGGTAGCTATCCTCCATTTCCGCCTTCCCCCTTGCTCCTTCCACCTACCTCTTCCCACTCCCCACTTCCCACTTGCCCTTTCCCATTTTCCCCTTCTTCATCTCTCCTCCCTCGCAGTATATCAAGTCACATCACCACCATTCTAGGGGGGGCAGGTTAAAGACTCCCACCACAATGACCATGTCCGTGACCGGTACCGCCATCCCCCCACCCCAAATCCATTCCACACCCCTCCATGCCCTCCATTCCCTCCATGTTTCCCATGGCCATGATCGACCGCAGCACACTATCCGGCGTCATACCATCACCATTACCACCAATGTTCATGCCCATTCCCACTCCAGCGCAGCCAACGCCAACACCGGGACCCATGCCATGGTTACAAACATTGTTGGGATCACTGCCACAAGTGTGCTGGTGGTTATGTGGTTGATGCTGATGATCACTCCCCCCCGTCCTCGCCAACCCCGGGTTCGTCGTCGTATTCCCCGGCGCAATACCAACGCCACCAGGCATTCCGAAGATACTTGGGTCGAGGAAGAAACCGATGGCTGCTGCGGCGGGGTTGGTTGGTGTTTCCATCGCTGTGCTGGTTGCTGCGGAGGCTGCGGTAGTGGTAGCGGTAGTTGTGGTAGTAATGTTGTTGTTATTGCTAGGATGGGAAGAAGAACCGAGAGTCACGGGACTGGTGGTGCTGTTGTTGTTGTTGTTGTTGTTGTTGTTGTTGTTGTTGTTGTTGTTGTTGTTGTTGTTGTTGTTGTTGTTGTTGTTGTTGTTGTTGTTGTTGTTGTTGTTGTTGTTGTTGTTGTTGTTGTTGTTGTTGTTGTTGTTGTTGTTGTTGTTGTTGTTGTTGTTGTCGTTGTTGTTGTTGTTGTTGTTGTTGTTGTTGTTGTTGTTGTTGTTGTTGTTGCTATTATCAAAGGACATGGAAGAGGAAGAGCCGCCTGATCCGCTGCTCATGTGTCGACCGTTGTTGGTGGGGGCTAGTCCTTGTCCTTGTGCTTGTGCTTGTCCGTGTCCGTGCCCTTGCTGGTGATGATGAGGATGGTGGTGGTGTGGATGTTGATGGTGATTCGAATGCATTTGGTGGTACATATGCTGATGATGGTCCGAAGACGACGTACTGGAATTGGGCGTGGGCTGGTTGGAGTTTGGTGATGGAGTGGACAGAGGGACGCCGTTGCTGCTCCCACCGGTGTCCGTGTCGAGCGGAGGGTGAGTAGGATAATTGGGAGGTAGCGAGATATTGTTGGGCATCATGCCGTGAAGAGATGTGGCAAAGGGTAGACCATCGGTCCTGGAGCCGCTGCCGTGTTGGCAGCCGGCGGGTGGAATGGGATTTCGCTGCTCGGCTGATGACCAGTCGGGTGCTGTGTTCCTGCTTGAACCGGGGAGCTGAACGAGAGGGTCGTTGAGATCAACGGGCTCGACTAGGTTGGGAGCGTTGGCGGGGTTGCCGTCGTCTTCGAGGGTTCGGAGGAATAGACATTCCTGGCGGGGGATGTTCTCGTGTATTGTCGATGTCCCGAGTCCGGTGCCAGGATTCATGTGGGCTCGTGATGTATGCTGAAGTTGCGTTCTATGTTAGCATGTCTAGGGACATATAGAGGAGGGAAACGCGAGACTTACGCCATCGGAACTCCTTTGAAAGGCATTTTTGAGCTTGGGGACCTTGGCACCAAGTGCTTCGAGGTCTACATCAAGCTGTACTACAAAGGATTCGGTGAGAGGATTCCGCCGTTTCAATGCGTTCATGGCTGATAGCAAGAACCGAAGAGAGTCGGCTACCTGGCCATCGTCCGGTCGGCTTTTGAGGAACTGGACAAACACTCTTGCTGCAACGTATAGACAGAAGGAGATAAACGGATTCATCTGTTCGAAGAGTCAGTCAGGCCTTTGATGATGCCCTCGCAGGATGAAACGTACCCTATCCAAATCAAGATGAGAGGCCATCCTCATGATGCTTGCAATCTCGTGAGCCGCGGTGATACATCGCATCTTACACTCAGTACCAACGGAGGCAGGTAAGTTGTTTGTGTCTGCTTTGAATATAGCTGCCTGATGCAGACAGATCGTCGACGTGTGGATGCACATGTTTGTGAAGACGACGTTCGGATTGCCCAGACCCTGTGGCAGTTTGAGGGCAGATGGCATGCAGAGCGAAACATTGAGGAGGATGTTGTCCATGTGTCGATGTCTCTTCCAAAATTCCCCATTCAGGTCGTGGTCTCGGTCGTCCTCGTTCGGCCGGTGGAGGTGGATGAGGTTCTTGCCAAAGAGGTATGCCAGAAGGATGACACCGCCAAAGGACGATAACTTGCCAGGACCTGTATGGAGTGTCACATCATTCAGGCTCTGAGTCTCCTCAGGGTGACTCAAGTCGTAGGCCTCGTCCGAGGCAGGAAGGTCGGAGAGAATGTCTTTTTCGTCAATAATCATCGGCCAACCCGTCCCAATACTGGCGTAGCGGTCCTGGCAGAAGGCCATCCAAAAGGTCCGTCGACGCTCTTCCTTTTCTGTCCAGTCTCGCGGGGGAGATAGACATTGTTTTACCTCCAAGTCACCACCATCCACTCGATGGAGGCCCATCCTAGAAGAGTATGAGTACATGATACAGGCTGGGGTAAGGGCTTCCGTTGGAACTTGACTTACATCTGGCATAAGCGCACGGCCGAGCCTGTACTCATCCATGCTCGGGGAAAATACATCGATTTGAATTCGTAGGATGCCAGTAGCACATAAGTTTGGCAATGTGACACCGTTATCATGTGTTCTCCGTGGCCTTTAATGGTATCCAACTCTAAATACTTCCTGGCCCTCTGGTAGAACAACTCTTTTAGGTCGAAGAACCGGTCTGTAACCGAGCACGCTAGTGTCCACATAGCATAGCGTAGACACACTGGTGGCCGTTGATTTGGGGCTCTGTCATATATACGTGGTCAGCAAGCCCATGTCTAACCTTGTACTGTGGGAAGAAACAAAAGAGGAGTTGTTGGACGTCCATAATGGTTGGTCGAAGAGAGTGATGGGTAAGGTGTCTTACAGATTCATCGCATGGAAGTAGCGGGCGCGATGTATCATTGGAAAGGAAGGGTGTATTTTGTCGAAGTATACTTGGTGTCTACGTCGCAGATCAGGTACGTTAGCAAAGTTAGCATGGCAACAAGACAATTACCCCTTGTGATCCTTGTGGGAGGGACTTACAGCTCGTCGATGGTCTCCTGGGGTGGTAGGGGCTCATCGAGTCCCAGGCCTATCATTTCCCAGGTAAAGTCGCCGCCCACACTGTTCATGCCTAGTCCCAAGTTGTTGCCCAAGTTGAAGTCATCCAATCCTGCGCTGCTCGGATCGCCGTGGAACTGCCACTGATCCACACTCCCCCCAGTTGCCATTCCACGCGAAGGGTCCGGAACGTTGAAGTTGGCGGCCGCGGCAGCAGCATGTTGACTTGGTTGGCTGGGTCCACCATTATCGACGATATTCGGTGCTATTGGGGTGCCGTCTGCACCCAGTCTCGGCGCTTCCTGCGTCTTCAGCAAAGTCTCAACTTGCTCTGCGAGCAAAAAAAGGTGAGTCAGCAAACTGCTCTCATGACTGAAGCCAGGGGACTGGACACGGTTTGTGAAACAGCGCACTTAATCGTTCCGCTAAGGCCTTGAGATGACCCTTCTTCGGCCCACTCTTCTTTCTCCTCTCATCGTAAGCGCATACATGGCCGAGACGCGAGCAAGTGCTGCAACTTGGCTTTGTGCCATCGCACTTGAGTTTCCTCCTTCGGCATATCTCGCATGCCAGTCTTTTTTGCTTTGGGGTACTCGAGTTCGCCCCAGTAATCGCACCCCCTGCTGTCCCTTCCGCGTTGGTGGGCTTGTCGTTGTGGGTGTCCGAGGCCATTATCGTATCCGTAGGGTTGGCGGAGGAGGATGCCATGTCGTAAAGTACTTGATATGAGGCGATAAAGATTTAGGTCGTCTAAGGAGCAACGAGTTTCTCAACGTTCTGTTAAGCGGTTAAGGGGAACCCATTGCTGACTGTGAGAGATGTATAGCAAGTGCACCTGCTTCAGTCCAGGCAGCCAAACGAATACGTAGTGACGAGAATCGATTCAAGCCGGATCCCAAGTGTAAATGTTCCAGTCAATCGGACGACTGATACTGTTGCTGCTGTCTTTGAACCACGTTCTGAGGCATAGAAATTCCGGTCACACTCAATGGTCCTGCCTCTGAGCAGGAAGGTGTTGGAGCTATGGGAAAGTAAGCAAACGAAGATAGGTCGGCAGGTGGACGGCTGATGTGGGTTGAAAGGGTAGGAATTAGGGTCTGGAGTACGAGAAGCTTACCTACCTTGGCAGCTTGGGTAGCTACCTCGAGGCTACCTATTGTGTGTCCGGGTTGATAAGGTAGTCGAACGGCTTGTGAATGTTGGTTCGACAGAAAAAGGAAGTTCCCCCACCGATCACTCACAAACCAAACGTTCCGTCTTTTGAGTGGATGGTTGGCCGCCGCCGTTGACCATGAGGGAGCTAGTAAAGGGGTGGAATTCAAGGGAAGGGTAAGGAACGGAAAAGTAAGGAAAGGTAAGGGAAAAGATATGATGATTTCCGCCAAGCTTTCCGCACGTAAGGGTGTAAGTGCTCAGAGATGTGCAGACATCGGCCAAACAGGTCCAGGTTTTTTGGCTTATTGGTTCAAACGATTTCAAAGATTCGTCTCCCAAATAACTCGTTAACTATCATTACACCTCCTCATCTTAGGTAGCCGATAAGGTCGATGAAGTTGATACTACTTCGAGTGAGGGCAGTTTGGTGGTGAGGTGCACGGGCCGTATTTTTCGGTTTGGAATTTCGATATTTTCTGAATTTTGATAATTTCGGGAATTTTGTTATTGTTTCAGGAATTGACCTTCACCAGAGGGAGCTAGGGAGCGTTTAACCTCCTAGGCCACCTAGGCCCAGGCACGTCAGGGCCAATCTAGAACCAGATAGTGGTACTATTCCGGGTGCTTCCGGTTCGCTTCTACAGAATACCTTACCTACTGGACTTCTGGAACGCTCTGGCTGATGTGAATGGGTACCTCGAACGGGACCTAGAAAGCTTGGCAATACGTTAACATCAGTCCCCGAAGCCATGTCCAGCTGGTATGCACCTTTGGCTACTACTATAAAGTAGGCTGTGGTCTCCTCGTCGGCATGCCTTTGCCAATATCAGCGTTGTTCTCATAGAGTGTCGTACAAGGCATGGAAGTGGCCCAGCTGGTCACTGACACTTCTTATTCAGGCTGGTTGACCACGGAAGTCGGATTTGGTCCCTATGTACCAGAGATGAACAGTGGCCCGAAAGGTAGAACGTTGAGGCTCTGCGACTGTTGATGACAATGCTTTTGTGCTTGAAGAATACTCACAGATGAACTCGTCCAATAACTCTTCAAGAGTATACAGAACTCGGAGATACTGTATGTGAGGGACACTCGTCGTGTGTAGCTTGAGGGGGTCCTTCGCTGGAATTGTGTACTTGACCCCTGATATTAGCGCACCTGCGTACATACCCCGTCAGACCATCCCTGTTGTGGCTAGATTATTAATAGCTCTGTCCAATCCAGTTTGACGGAGTTCCCCCCCTACGTGTCAAAATCCGGGACTTGGATCCGCTGCGGCTTACCCTTTCTGCTACCTATAGCCTCCGAGGACTCTGTAAGCTTTCTCTGAAGACACTGGAATAATTCACAATCGCTTGAAAAGCAGAAAGTCAAAGCAGGGAACGATGATTCTTTAGCTATCTGAATCACGAAACTCACCAAAGCCCAGTGGGCCTGCACCCACGGCGTAGTCTGGGCATCCGTCTCTGTTCTCCCCTGCCTTGCTAGGTGTGAATATGTACCCATGTGCATGTCTCACTGGTTCCCACTGACGGAACTGCCTTGACTCTTCCTTCATTGAGATTTGGCGGTCCGGTGGTTTCCGTCACAGCTCCCGCTTGGCAGGTAGAACCTCGTTGTGACTGCCTATTGCGGTATGTCTCCCAACAAAGCCTCCTTTCGATAAACTCAGCCGAGACCGGCTGGATCCGTTATGGGACACCATTGACCCCTCTCGTTGCATACGTGGGGTATGGCATAGTCCATCAGCTGTATGCTATCGATGTGGTCAATCCGACAAGGCAGCGTCGAGGACGACTTTTGGCCTTTTGCTGTTGCACGGTGCCATAGCACGCTCATTCTACTGTTAAGCGCCGGAAAACTTCCAGAGCATAACTCTCTGTAGAGACTGCTCACTTCCTATCCGTGTCCACGCCGATGATGCGGAGTACGCCTAGATCACTGTAAGCAAGGCAGTATCTGGTAGGTGCCCATGCCACTGCTTCACAAGCACCGGCTGTCTTGAAGGTGTGGACATGCTCGCCCGTCTCGGTATGAGTAACTTCCAAGCTACCACCTATCGAGCGAGTTAGCATTCTCAATCACAAGTGGATGACCAAAGAGTAGCTGACGTACCTTCTTCACAGCCACCGACCACATAACTACCATCAAACGTGAAGCCTGTGGATGTGGTTAGTAACGAAACAACTCCGGTGAGCAAACAGGGGTAAGGTACTTATGCTCTTGACCGGCCCAACCATGCGGGTTACTGTCCGCTGGCAAATCCAGTCTTTGGTATCAAACAAGGCAATGATGGAATCGGCGCCTCCCGTTGCCAGGTATTTGCCCGTGGGAGAGAGCTCAGCTGTTAGGCAAGATGCTGTATGGCCTTTGAGCGTGAATTCAGTTGACTCGCCCTCTGGGACGGCGTGGTTCACATGCAGGACAGGTTCAAAGTCGGGGTAGGACAAAATGCGTATCCTTCCTTCGTTGGTGGGCAGAAATACCTTGTCACCACTCCAACAGAAGGCCATCTGGTTTGTACCGACCGCTTGATGGTGGGTCGAAACGATGGAAGACTGAGAGGGCAGGATATGGAACAAATCGCCATTCTTAACAATGGTTAGCCTGTGGACTTTACTTTGGAACTTGCAGAACACCTACCTTGCTACCAACGAGTAACGAGGATCCATCAGGTGCCCAAGCCAGGGATGTGGCGTGACCAGAAACCTTGACCTCGTTGACACATGCCTTGGTCCTTACGTCCCAGATCTTGACAGCGCCATCGCTACTGACGCTGCAAAGTTCAGCATCCTTGACGGGGTTGAAGGCGACCTTCTCAATCGGAGCAGCATGACCTTTGAGCTCGGTTGAGAATTTGACATTGGGCTTCTCGGGATTCCAGACACGAAGTGTCTTGTCAACAGCACCAGTGGCAATAAGAGTTCCCAATGGGTTCCAGGCTATTGTGCTTAGGCTAGGAAACAACCACCGTTAGCGAGGAACGATATGTGACCGTCTGAGTTACGGTGACATGGATAAACTGTGACGATGATGGGCGAGGTACCTGTGATGACTTCCACCACCACCCCGAGGCCCGGAGGTGGTGTCGTTGTAGGACTGACTCTTCAGCGGTCCAAAATAGGCCGAAAACTTCTCCTTCGGCAAGCTGTATCTGGGGCGTAGGAGCGGAGCCATGCTGTCGTCTTTTCAGGCTGTCTTCAAGACGACCTGTCAGTTTAGTGTGACCTTCTGAATATGCGAGAGGGTGAGATGGTGAAGGTAGCTGTCAGTATTGTTAGCTACTAGCTTCGTACGCAGTGAGGCGAAAGTCAACGCATTTAAGTCCCGCTGGGTAGCCGATTGGACACGATGATTCGTGAGTGGGGTTAGTGAAGACGGGATGTAAAGCTATCGGTGGAGGGAAATGGAAGGCTCAAAGGATAATGAGGAAGGTGAGGAAGTTCATGCCTGGATGAATATGGAGGGGATATTGAGATGCTTTGTTCAGTTGTTTGTCCAGTCGTTAGGTCGTCAATGGGATTGCATCGCGGTTGGTGTCTGTGCACTAACGCAAGGTACATCGCATACCTGGAGGTGGCTGCTCGCAGGGAGTTCGAAGACGGGATATCGGACGCTGGGACCCTCAACCGACACTAGCGCGGCGCCTATAACCGCCGCTTACAGCATGTACAACGTGGAGGTACTTCCCGACTCGGCACCCATCATCCAGGTCCCCTGTTCACGGAACGCCCCGTCCCCAACTTAAACGTCCACCAGACAACACACTCAACGACCTCACGCGGCAGCATCACCACCACCTCACTGCGGGACTCGGAGCCCACGACCACCCTCTGTCCAGAGTGCCATTCCAGGCTCGACATGATTTGACTTTACGATCGACCACAAGCACCGAGGCTGTTGATGCGCATGAGGCCGCCGTGAAGGCACCGGCCGCCTTCAGAAAGCCATGTACTGGCCTATTGGAACTCCCCGGATATATGCGACAAGCGCCAGCTGCCCGCCATCCTACCCTCACCTCTACTCCCACGATGGGTTACCAGCCGCCGATCAGGGGCCTCCCAGAAGCTCTCTGTTGTCCCCAGGTGCCGCCGCCGACGGTCACGATTCCTCGAGTGTCCCCCCTACGCCCATCACTCCGGTAACACCCTTCACACCGGCTATCAAGTCCGTCGAGCACGACTACTACGATGACGACGGGCAGTCCGAACCACCATCACCTCCTCCTCCAGAGCCCTCGCAGTCCAATGCTCCGCCCAGGGAACCAATACTGGCTCTCCGGGTTGCAAGAGCTGGCCACTTGTTCGCCGTCATCACCTCAACGTCAATGACCATCTGGCAGACAAAAGTATACTCTTATATATTAAATCCCTTGGATTTCCGCCCTGCTAACTCGTGTGTTAGCCAACGGTTGTTCTCGCTGTTGTTGTTCGATCCGAGGCGTCACTAAAATCCTACGGTACCAACACTAGCTTGATGCTGCGTCCGGATGCCGCCATATTTGTCGTGCGCACCAGCCTGGGCTATCTGATCACCTACTCTCTGGCTACCGATGCCGACTCTCGAGTCTACAAACCCCATTTTTCCAGTCATACCAATGTTCAGAAACGGCGGCAAACCCATGCAGGCGGCCCGGGAGCGATGGCCCCCGACCAAATACTATGGGGCCCCGGTGAGGGATCGGGAGTTAGGGATGTCAGCGTTCGTTTCCGCATGGTTATCAAAGTTGACGCCGGCATTGAGAGTGCCTTGGCTTTGGACGACGAGTTGGTGGTGGCTACACGGAAACCTGCGGCAGTTCAGTGCATCCGATGGACCCCAGACAGCTCCGGAAGTCAAACCAGCACAGAGCTGTTGAGCCGCATGGGCTGGGTCGACAAGAAGGTTATGGTTCGCGAGATGACACATGATAGGCGCATGAACCTGTCCACATGGGTGACCAGCGACGGCAAAGCGTACGCCGTCCAGCGCATCACTGGCAGCCGACAGGATCCCGATACGAACCAGCTGGCCGACCCAAAGAAGCTTTTCAAAGGCTACTGCTTTTATACACCTCAGACACCTGGCGAACAAGCGATACGTTGCGTCGTCAATGCCGTCTTCTCTCTTATTGCCGTGGGCTGTGCAGATGGCAACATTCGCGTGTTTTCGGCAAGAGATTACTCGGGAAACATTCCAGCTTCTCACGTCCACAATCTCCCTGCTTCAACCAACACCTGTGGCAGACTTACAACTCTCAGCTACTCTCCTGATGGTTATTGTCTTTTTGCTGGCTATGAAAAGGGATGGGCAACATGGAGCGTGTACGGCAAGCCGCTAAGTAACAGTTTTGGGGCCGATCATTCCATTGCTAGCACAACCGGGGAAGAGTGGATATCCGGTGTCCTCGACGCAGCCTGGATTGGAGGTGGCTGCGAACTGCTGCTTGTGGGCCGATCCCATGAATCAATATGGCTGCTAGAGATGGCACGAAGCGCAGTAACCGGATGCTACAACTCTGCAAATCTCTTCAGGACCGTGCTTCAGAGCACTTCCAGCGTCATGGTCTATAGGGGATATGACCTACCGGATCTTACTTCGATCTCGGCCGAACCTGGGCTGTGGCATACAGCTAGGATACCAGCCAGCTATCTTATGAACCATTGGCCAATCAGGTGTACTGCCATCTCCAGCGATGGTCGATATGTTGCAGTGGCGGGCAGAAGGGGCTTGGCTCACTATAGCGTTAACAGCGGTCGCTGGAAGACGTTCGCGAACGCGGATGCGGAGAACGAGTTCCATGTGAAGGGTGGCATGTGTTGGTACCAGAATATCCTGGTTGCTGCCGTGGAGGCTAATAGGAGCTTCGAACTCCGTCTCTACTCGCGGGAGGCATCGCTCGATAGCTCGAATGTGCTACATACTCAGGAGATGTCGGCACCGATTGTCCTGATCACTCCCTCTGGTGAAGACTCGCTGCTCGTTTATACTTACGACAACCTCCTCTACCACTTTATCTTTGCACCATTCGGTGGCACCGTTAGGCTGGTAGAAGTTGGCCACATAGCTTTTCATGGCATTATCCGATCACCCGCACGAGTTCGAGGTCTGAGCTGGATTTTGCCCGAGAGCCAGCTGTTAGACGGAGACCCATCCCAAGACGTGGCTCATGCCTCTGTCTTGTTCTTGGTAGATGGCAAGCTGGTCCTCCTTCGACCCTCGTACAATGAAGGCGGCCTCAAATACGATATGCGCGTCATTGCGAACAACCTCGAATTCTACGTTAGCATGAGGGACCAGCCTTTTGTGGGCGGCGTCCTGACGCCCTCCGAAAAGCAGGTCTTTACGGCCGCGGCTGATGACAGTTTACGCAATTCACTCTGGATCTTTGATGGTAGTGAAATCAAGGCCTGGACGGATGTCGAGCCAGTTTTGAGAGCCATCTCTGGAGAAGCCACTAGAGAGCTTCCACCCATGACATCTATCCCTATCGACTTTTATCCTCTATCCGCTCTTCTCAGCAAAGCCATAGTACTTGGCGTGGAGTCTGATCTCATCCAACGCCGTGATGTCAGCTTCTCCTTCTTTCGTTTCTCGATACGGGTAAGCCCCTAGATTTCACTGCATATCACGTACGAGGAATGCCCTGCTAACAGTCCACAGACACACCTCTTTCTACCCGATATACTGCGGTTCTACCTTACGAATAATAGACCGGTTGAGGCGTTGCGATTAGCTCAGCAATATGAGCACCTTGAGTACTTTGCACATGGACTGGAAATTCTTCTGCACCACGTCCTGGACGAAGAGGTGGATGCCCACCCTCCACCCGCTCCAGAACATGCCATCCTCCCACGGGTGCTGTCACTCCTCTCATCATTCAAGCAGTACTTGGACATTGTAGTGCAGTGTACCCGCAAGACGGAAGTGCGTTCCTGGCGTACTCTGTTTGCTTATCTCCCTCCACCTCAGGAGCTTTTCGAGGAGAGCTTACAGCGTGGCAGCCTTAAGACTGCTGGCGGCTACTTGCTCATCCTCCACACCTTTGACGAACTCGCGACAGCAAGCGAGCAGAGCGTGCGTCTCCTAAGCAGAGCAATGCGCGAGGGCGACTGGGAGCTTTGCAAAGAACTGGCACGGTTTTTGGCCGCGCTCGATGAAACGGGGGACACGTTGCGTGAAGCAATGGAGCTGGCAAAGATACGGGTGAAGCAGGAAAGTGAGCTGGAGGATGGCCATGGCAGCGTAGGCAGCGGGCTGGGCACAATGCTTGGAGTTCCTCAGGGTGGTGGTGTTAACGGTGCTTCTAGCACCACTAGCTCGTTGATCTCGAATACCAAGGGGATTACGGGTAGTGACTGGGATGCCGACAGGCGGACAATCAGCGACGCCGGCAGCGTGGTCAGTGCTAATCGGTACGAGGGCTGATGGGAGTGGCTCTTTGAAAGCCGATTTCATGGGAATTGGATAAAACGGGTTCTGGGTGCGAGACAAGCGGACACGATTTGTCTCATGAGAGTACACAAACAGTAGGACAACTTTTAAAAAGAGGTTTCAAAATAATTTAGAACAGCTATAATCACAGGCAATAGAGGTTGCCTTTTTTCCCCAGCATATGCCTCTTCAAAAACCAGGAGCAAAGTCTAGCATTGATCATCATGGCGCCCAAATGAATAATAACAAAGCACATGCCTCCCCAAGTGTATGGTACTGACATGTGTTTCTCGATCTCATACGCTGGGCCGCTGGGCTGACTGGAGGCCGACGATACCTTGGGGATTGCTGATAAACAGACAGCGGGGAGCAGGGGGGCTACAATCTCCAGCTGCCCTGCGGGGACCACTGCAACGGCGATGAACCCCCCACCAAAAAGAGTTCGCCCCTGCCACTGTCAGCCTGTTTGCTTCCAGAGTCCAGACCCCCCCACCTGCACTGCCCTGCACGAGGGATTCCACCTGAACTCCCGTCAAACCGTCGCAAAAAAGCATCACAAACCTCTTCTGCCTCCAACATCTTGTCGTCATTGTGCCTTGTGCCAGCTCAATCTCATCCGACCCGGACCTCCCACCCCCATCTACGGCCCGGCGCTCTCCAGTTCGGTCCAACAAAAGTTTCAAACGCCGCACCCCACCCCAGCACCCGGAATTTTGGCCTCGTTGATTCGAAGCGCCAGCCGACGGTCGTTCGCGCCCACTTCCCTCTCTCCCTTCTTTTTATGCGCCGAGCATAGACTTGGTGTCGCCGGCCATGGATGACTTTGTGAGCGAGTCTGAGAGTGACTATGCCAGCTATTGGCGCGACTGGGTATGCTTTTCTAGCAATTGTTGTTATCGTTACTACAGTAAAACTTCCAATTATCATGCTAACATTTGCGCGTCCTACTCTGCAGTTCATCTCCTCGCGAGGCAATGAATACTTTTGCGAAATCGACGAGGACTACATCACTGACAGGTTCAACTTGACCGGTCTCAACACTGAGGTCCAGTACTACCAATATGCCCTCGATCTCATCACCGATGTCTTCGACCTCGACTGCGACGATGACATGCGGGAAACAATAGAGAAGTCTGCTAGGCACCTGTACGGTCTCGTCCATGCTCGATACATTGTCACAACCCGGGGTCTTCAAAAGATGGTTAGTACTCGACCGACCCTCAATCCCATTCCCACTCCCATCGCCATCCATCCAGCGTGACTAACAAAACCTTACTTGCTCAACCATCCAGTTCGAAAAGTACAAAAAAGCCGACTTCGGCAAGTGCCCGCGCGTCATGTGTTCCTCGCACCCGCTCCTGCCCATGGGCCTCTCGGACGTGCCCAACTCCAAGCCGGTGAAGCTGTACTGCGCGCGGTGCGAGGACATCTACAACCCCAAGTCGTCGCGCCACGCCGCCATCGACGGCGCCTACTTCGGCACCTCGTTCCACAACATCTTCTTCCAGGTGTACCCGACCCTGGTGCCCGCCAAGAGCGTCGAGCGCTACATCCCGCGCTGCTACGGCTTCAAGGTGCACGCCGCCGCCGCCCTGGTGCGCTGGCAGAACGGCCAGCGGGACGAGATGCGCAGGCGGCTGAGGAAGCTCGAGGTCGAGAGCGGGTTCAAGGACGCCGAGGACGAGGCTGAGCTTGATGAGGATGAGGAGGACGAGGAGGAGGAGGAGGAGCTGGCTGCTATGGAAGAGGTTGAGGGTGCCCAACAGCAACATACGGCAGCGGCAGCAGCAGGAGCGGCGACGGGAGGCGTTGCCGCCGGTGGTGAGGGCGTTCATTAGAAGGGGCCTGTTGCTACTGGAGGTGGAGTAGATGAAGAGTATTGGAACTCGGAAGCCACGATTGGAGCCAATCGTGGCTTCCAAGACGATGAGCTGCAAGGCGAGCCAGCTCAGTGGGCGACACCTCAGTGGTCGACACTGGTCATGTCTGCGGCTGCAAGGCTGCGACGGAATCTCAGGCTAGGAGAGGATTACGAAGAGCAGGTTGAGATGGAGCTTGATGAGATGGGGGAATAGGCGAGGGACGGGATGTTTTGAGGTGGTGGAATGCATATACCATACAGTATTGAGTAACAAAGTATGAATGAGTACAGGATGTCTCTTTTTTTTTTCTAGTTTCTGCATCCCATGGGGCAATTCAACAGCGGACTTCGGAAACGATGTGAATAGGAGAGAGAGAGAGAGAGAGAGAGAGCGCGCCATTGATAGAGTGTTTGATGTTCTTTGGTCTAGCTATTTGTTTTTCTACTTCCTACCAGACGGTTTCGAAACTCTGACATCGCCTGAATTGCTTCTCTTCGTCTATGCTGAACTGCTCCCTCATAACAGCAAAACTTCGTTTACCTCTCTTCCAAGCCTCCTAAAACCAATCGTCAAAACGAGAACACATTGAAATTACTCAGTAAAAAGCAGTCTTATGGAGCATGGAAATCCAAAACGACCAAACCATATATCCAAGCGTCCGACTGAGGAAAGATTCACAAGCGGTATCATTCGGCAACATGAACCATTTTCAATGCATTGACTGTTACTACAGTATAAATACATACATATGTGGATAGGTTCCTCATTTCCCCAGAAAAAAACGCCTCCTGAACTTGAACAAAACCCATGTAGGTGACATAACCATTTGCTGTTCCTCAGATTTCATCAAGTAGAGGAATCATCGGTTTTGTCATCAAGCCCAGCCACCCGGGCCAGGTCCCTCTTTCCGGAAAATGCACTTTGACTCTTCTCATCCGAGACTGCATCAAAATCTACCCCTCATATCTGATTGTCATGAACCCCCCTATAAGCCGTATCAGCCTGTTCGCGTTCATCAAGAGAAGGCGGTTTCCTCCCCGTGATGGGCTGGTCCGGTCCCACATTACTTTCCAAACCGGTGCCATTACCCCGTACCACAGGGCGTCCGTAGCTACCATGATCCAAGGAATCAGGGCCCAGCGCCTCCTCCTCGTCTCCGGCGCGATGGTACTCGCCGACGTTATGATCAGTCGAGTAGCTATAACTACCGACGCCCGCCCAGAACGCCTTGTCGCGGCTGCGCGGACCCCATGCCCACCCAGCACCTTGCGAAATGGGCAGGTGGTAGTAGCGGAAGGCGAAGAAGGCGCAGACGAGCCCGATCAGGTAGCCGAACAGGATGTCGAAGCCGTGGTGGCGGAAGTCGAACCAGCGCGAGCTGGCGATGAAGATGGACGCAAACCACGGGATGATGCAGATCAGCAGCAGGTAGAGCGGCGGCGCGGCGGCCTGGCGGCGCACGGCGGCCACGGCGCGCGTGTGCCGCGCAAGACGCTTCTCCTCGGCTGCGCCGATGCTACCGCCCGTGTAGGTGCGCCCGCTCCCCGAGCCTGCGGGACCCCGCGAGGCCATCTCGTACGATTCGGGCCCGCCTAGGAACATGGCGGTGTTATTGCGAGTCCGAGAGGGGAAGGCGGAGAAAGAGGCGGCGTCTACGTTGGTGCCGGAGGCGAGGAAGGGAATTGTGATAGCGAACTTGCTGGCAATGAAAAGCGAGAGGTAGACGAGACCTGGTGGGATAATCAGTCAGTCAGTCAGTCATGGACTCAACTCCCAAGCATTCTCTGCTATGGGTAGAAACCGGTTAGTACTCACCGGATGCTGCCGAGCTGGAGTGACCGCTGGGGTAGCTCCTGAACCCATCATCCAACAAGGCCTTGTCCGTGTTCTTGCAAATATTTGCGCTGACCAGCTGCCCATCCATGCTCGAATTGGCATAACCTCCAACGATATAATTGGCGTAATTGGCGAGATCGGGCTGGCATCTCGAGAGAAGATCCGGTCGCGGCTTTCCGTAAAGGTTCTTCATGCCATTCGTAATCAGCCAGGCTGACGCTACCGACAGAGCCAACCCCAGCCAGCCAATATGTAATTCCCATAGCTTTCGCTTCCAGATCATAGCCTTCGGCGTGCCCCGAGGTACGGTAGCGCCGGGGACGAATATCAGCGAGATGACGGCGATCAAGACGATGGGGGCGAGCACGCTGATGCATGCTGCCAGCCAGACGGGCACGGTTTCCTTTACTGTAAATGGGAATCTGGAGGGTTGTACGTCTTAGCATCACAGCCATGAAATGGACCAAGCAGAAACTGTCAGAGAAAATTTTTTGATTTTACATACGAGATATTGGGGTCGTGAAGTGAGAAGGGTCTCTTGTTAGGGGTTTTATTCCCAAAAATATAGCCAATGACTCCGGCAACAGCGATGATGACCCAGTCAAAGACATACGAGACCACCACCACCCATCCTCCTTTCTTCCTCTTTGGCCCACCAGCCCGGGTGTGCCTTAGGTCTTCCATCATCGGCGTCGTCGTCGAAGTTGGTGTAATGCCGGTATGCGATGGTGAAACCGAGCGAGCGTGTGCTGGAGGGATGAGGAAGTCTTCTGAATCGTCGGGCATGAGGACCTAAGAATGATCCGAGGGGTAGTCGGATGGGAAAGGAACCTCAACGGAGCAGAAAGGGACGGCAAGAAGAAAGGTCAGAAGCGCAAGTTCGGGTTCGGGTGGTGCGTCCAGTGATTGTGCGTCCAGCTGAGTCTAGCCGGGTCGCGTTTGCCAGCCGAAAAGAGCGTAGGTAGGCAATAAGGGGATGTTTCAATAGGCGCAAACCGCAGCCGAATGTAAGGATGAAGCGACAAGAGATGTGACCAGGCTATACAAACCTAGGGCTGTAGTGGTTGGGAACCGAGATGATACTTTGGGGAAAGTAGTACCAATAGCTTGGCCGGACTAGCGTAAAGATGTCGTGACGGGAGTACGCAGTATACGGTAAAGACCTGGTGCGTGCATGTAATGTGCAGAGTTCAGAAAAAGAGTTTCGCCCCAGCGATCGACGTCCACGATTTCCCACCCAAAACGTCTAAGCCTCTTTCCAAGCCGGCGCGTGTATGACGCCAACAAAGAATCCCGATGCCTGTTTCCACTTGCTGGTTGGTCTCCGCAGTCCGCACTCCTGCCGTCTGCGTGGAAGTCAGTTGACAGGTCAGTACCTACTACTCCAGGCAGCAACAATGCAGTAAGTCCCGTACGTAACAAGAAAGAAAAATGAATGTTTAAACGAGATTATCGGCGGTGAATCAATAGTCAAGAGGAGAATGGCAGCTTCCTCGGCGAGTTCAACGCTCGAGGTTAAAACAGAAACCAACGATCCTGTAACAGATGATCATTCAAGGGGGCAGTGGCGGGCCTGGCCAACCCCAGTCCAGCGTAACGCTGCATGGACTCATGGAGAGCGCCCATTGGGGAACCATGCTGCGGCCCATCAGAAAGTACTGCTCCCCGGCTTTTGTTAGGGGATCGACTCAATCATCCTGGAAAGAACTGCAGAGAAGTGCGATGCCTCTATCGCAGCCAGAGTCCGAGGTACAAGACATGGTGGAGCAGTTTTTTTACTACAGTAGGAACCCCTGTTAATGCAAGCCCCCCCTTTTCCAAACACATATAAACTGACCCATTAGATGCAAAAAGAATGCGGCCCGGATCCCCAGTTTTGCATGCAAGTGAGGCACCCCTTAATGCAAAAACCCCCCTAATGCTAAGACTCTGAGCTGTCCCCCATAGTGCCGGAATTAGTTGCATTAACAGGGGTTTCTACTGTACCTTACCGCGTGGATCCCTCCCCAGGGGCATTAAACCTAATCTCCAAAAATATCAGACGGCCCTGGTCCATGAACGGTCGAGACTCTTCAAATAAGTACACTACTCATCACCAAAGAGATCGAGAAATTCAAGCTATGTGCAGTATGCTCCCTTTCTCTCCGATCTTGTGGTATATAGAGATGAGACTATGCTTCCCTTTTGTTGACCCTCATCCCTTCATGGCGTTGCGATCCTACACAGTAGGCATGTTCGGCCGAATTGCGGGCGCATACCGAGACGCTGTGTCGTGACATGCCCTTGCGCAGTTAATCACTGCAAAGATCCCGCCGCTGGAATGCAGAAATCTCGCTGCGCTCAGGTCTACGCGGCTATCTACACCCTTTTGTTAACTACCTATCTCGCAATCCACTCAGGACGGCCTCCTCAGGACCGGTAACAGATCTGAAAGGGCAAAGGGGGCCGGCATTTTTGTCCTGCTCCCTGCATAAGGGATGAACGCAAAATGTGATTGGACAACTCGACCGACTTCAATGACCAGACGGCTTTCTTTCATAGCCTGTTGTCCCAGCCATAAAAACAAAGCACCTTCTATCAGGTTCACACAGCGAACGAGTCGAACGAACATTAAGTCTAGCCTTTCGTACATCCCTGAAGTCATGTCCCGGTTGATAGACAGAGTTGCGGTCTTAGCAAGGCCCCGCAACTGATCGCCATCTGCCAAGTGTCGCTCGGTCGGAAGTGAAGATATAAAAGCAACACGGCGGATCTCCAACAACCGATGCTATTCGGCCAAGTGACCTCCTATGGCGTCCTTCCGGTATAAAACTGAGCCCTCGAACTGCCGGCCTGCGAACAAATGAATACGTTTTACTACATAGTGTACAAGATGGTGGGTATATAGCCCAAGTTGAGCACAGCAGGTTGATTTGTTTATGTAGTCTTCTTGTTCCTCCGGACACCCATGTTGCGGACCCGGGGAGTAACCACCCACTTGTTGACGTTGGACTTTCTGCGTGTCTTGTAACCACCTTTGGCCTAGAAAAGAAGAGGGTAAGGCGTCTGTTTGGAGCACAGAGAGGAAATAAGGGGCAAGACTTACAGGTGTGCCCCAAGGAGAGACAGGGTGCCTGTTACCCTTCGACTTACCACGACCACCACCGTGAGGATGGTCATCTACCGGGTCGTTAGTTGGTTCTGCTCGCTTTGACAAACGGATGCTTCGGGGGTCTACTCACTTGCGTTCATGGCCAAACCTCTCACAGTGGGCCTGATGTTGAGCCAACGGCTTCTACCGGCCTTGCCCAATTGTCTGTAGTGATGCATAATGTTGCTGGAAATACCAACGGTGGCGCAAGCGTCCTTGCTGACCCTTCTGATTTCTCCACTCTGCAGTCTAACGTTGACGAACTTGCCCGTCATAACCTTTGTACCATCCTCACGAGTCTCCTCCTCCTTGGAAATAATGGTGGCATATGTCCCGGCACTGCGGCAGAAGACAGCCTTGCCGTCCGAACGGGAGCCAACGCAGTAGATCTGGGTTCCGACTGGAATCATGGACACGGGCAAGCAGTTGCCTCTCCAGCATGTCCTCGCAGCCAGAATACCAGGATCAACGACACCACCCATGGAATCGAGCAGGTCCTGGGGAAGACCGGACCGGTAGCTCTGCACGACATCTCCCGCCCTCATGCCATCCGCCGCGACGATATAGCTCTTCCTCCCTGTGGCCTCCTCCTTCACCAGCGCAATGTGTGCGCTGCGACCGGGGTCGTACTCGATGCGCAGGACTGTGTGCGGACCCGGAATCCATCGTTCGAAGTCGACCATACGGATTCTTCGCTTGTGACCACCACCACGATGTCTGACGGTAATGCGACCGCTGTGGTTACGTCCACCCTTGGACTGACCCTTCTTGGGGAAGGTAAGAGGAAGATACGGCCGGCCCTTCCACAGGTGGTCGTTGATGGGGCGCTTCAAGTGACGGATACCGGGCGTGTGCGGCTTGTAGGTTCTCATCATGCCGGCGTCCCGGACGTAGGGAGTTACGGTCTTGGCCTTGGCATCTTTTTTGGTGCTGGTGCTGGTGGTGCTGGTGCTTCCTGATTGTGTGGCGGCCTTGGTGGCATAGCATCTGGCGACGGTGCGGCCCAGCACGGTTTGGGCAAAGGAAGCTGTCCCCGCGAGGAGGGGTCGGAATTGAGGCTGCAGCATGGCTGCTCGATCGCTGTCGGATATCCCAAGCTCCTGGCGGTGAGCTCTGGGGAGGTGGGGGTGCTGGAGGGGACGATTGCTGCGATATCCAGCAACCGGAGTGCGACGTCCTCGCAGGCTGCTCGTCGGTTCCCGTCGTCGGCTTGTCGTCGATAACTGCTTGTGGAAAATTGCTCGGCTGATGCGCCAATCACAGCCTTGCATTGGTTGCGACCCCGGACTGTTGTGGCTGTTGACAGTGTGGCTTGTGTGGTGCAGCCACTGGCCTTTGGTGAAAGAGCTTTGTTCCTTTCCAGGACAAAGTGCTGCAAACAGCGCGCCGAAACGCGGGCGCGGGAGGAAGGCACCAGTCAACGGCGCGTGAAGGTTCAGTGCAGGGGCCTGGTGGCCTGTAGAAAGCGCGGCGCGGGGAAGAGCGTGCATCTTGCTCCGTTCCTTCCCAAGGTTCGCGGTCTGTGTTGACAGCTGCTGGAGCTCACACGGTGCCTGTTGAGCACTTTTGACCAATCAGAAGCCGGATTCGGCCGGTTGCCCTGCGGTTGCCAGTGTTGACGGTGGATGACGGCAAGGGAGGGGACGTGGCCCGCGCTGGCCCTGCCTTCCTTCACTGCGTGCTTGAGGTGTGACCTTTGTACCTCCTGCTTGGTGCAAAACACAGGCCCAAGTATTTCCTGGCCGCTTTTTCTGCAACTGAACTCGACACCATCCGACTTGCAACCATTTCCCTGGACGCACAACAATCGACATTCAGCAACAGCAACAACAGCAACTTTCGACTCCGGTCATTGAAGTCTGGCATTTCTTTGGCAGTACAACCTTTTCGACTTGCTTATTCGACAGCACGGCATCCTAACCATTCGACAACTTGACATTGCAGAAAGCCGCAAGACGTGCGTCTGACATTGCACGGCGCGTCATCACTTGTGGTGTTTTTGTTAAGGTTCAGAAGCATCACTGCACTAGTGAAGGGTACTTTGTCCCAGCCCCAGCACGTCCGATCGGGTACCTGGGTGCGTGTCCACACGCCCGCTCCGTCCACTGGCACTCCAGCCCCATCCACTGGGCTGCACTGGCACTGGCACCTCCACCAAGACCTCGCAAAAACAAGACTTCCACACTTCTCTGCACCTCATAAACAGCATATCTCCCTTTCCCGTCCGCCAACTAGCCTTCCCACTCCGCATCACCTGGACCCGCAAGGCCATTGCCATCACGACGGCAACCCTTGGCCTCGATCAGTCAATCCTTCGGACGTCGCCATCGCGTGCTTTGCCCTCGACCGTCGTCACCAATTGGGCAACATCCCGATTAACAACAGGACCGTGAAGCAACCTCCTGTCGCCGAACCCAGGGTTGATCTCCGGCTTCAACAACGTGCCGACAGCGACATCACTGCCGACCGCCGGTGTCAATCCTTCCCGACATCTTTGGGTTTTGCAGTCGGTGCGTCTAGTTCTATCGCTGTCCGTGTTCACAATTCCCTCGTCGTTCGCGTCAACCCTCCCTCCGTGGCAGGGATCGGTCCTTCGACGTCACCCAGCCTCTCCACCTCGAACTTCGCCAATAACGAGACACCCAAACAGCTAGCTGACCTCCTCGTCAGTAGACACATTTCACTTCAATTCCTGTACCAGCTTAGGATTAGGCGAGAATGCCGAATCTTGTAAGTTTTCCTGCGCAGTGGCATTGTCGTTCATTCATGCAATTGGTTGTCCACACCATGGTATGTTTGTACTAACTCAACCCCAACCCTGCAGCGGACGAGGAACCCTTCGCGTTCACTCGCGAACGAAAATGACGAGAACAGTACAGCACCCACGACACGTATGACGAGGGCCAAGGCGGCCACTCTCCACGTCGACGAATTGTCCATGCCCGCGAAAACCATGCAGACCAAGAAGACGACAACTTCGACAACCACCGCCGCCACTGCCGCTCGTACTGTCGGTAAGCGGAACGCACTGGGCGATGTCAGCAATGTCACCAAGGTCGAAGTTGCGGGAGCGAAGAAAGCGATTGCGAAGCCCGGCCTAGTTTCGAAGGCGGCCCAGCCGAGTGGTATCCAGAAGAAGACCACGACTGCTACGAGCCGTACTGCGACTACCGCCCGCCGTGCGTTATCCAACAAAGAGCCCAACAAGACCAGTGCCGGTGCTGGCACCATTCCCGCCAAGCGCAAGCTTCCTCCGTCCACATCTAAGCTCGCCCCCACCAAGGAATCAGCACCCGTTGAAAGTGAGCCGACCCGTAAGAAGCTCCACGTCGAAGAGCCCGAGAAGAAGAAGGTTATCAAGACTGAGGCCAAGGGAAACGATGCTCCCACCAAGGCTGCGAAGCCCATCACCGAGCCCCCCGCTCCTGTCGTCCGCGATGTCGTCCCTGTTCAGCCAGTGTATCCGCCAGGTGTTAAGGACCTTGACACTGAAGACCTCGAGGATCCTCTTATGGTTGCCGAGTATGCGACGGAAATTTTCGAGTACCTCCGCGACCTCGAGTGCAAATCCGTGCCGAACCCCCAGTACATGAGCCACCAGGATGACCTCGAGTGGAAGACTCGCGGCATTCTCATCGACTGGCTCATTGAGGTCCATACTCGATTCCATTTGCTGCCCGAGACGCTGTTCCTTGCCGTCAACATCATCGATCGTTTCTTGAGCGAAAAGGTCGTCCAGCTCGATCGTCTTCAGCTTGTGGGTATCACCGCAATGTTTATTGCCTCCAAGTACGAGGAGGTTCTCTCCCCTCACATCGCCAATTTCCGCCACGTCGCCGATGATGGCTTTACTGAAGCCGAGATCCTTAGCGCTGAGCGGTTCATCCTGTCGACACTCAACTACGACCTTAGCTACCCCAACCCCATGAACTTTCTCCGCCGCATCTCCAAGGCCGACAACTACGATATTCAGTCCCGCACCCTTGGCAAGTATCTGATGGAGATCAGCCTGTTGGACCATCGCTTTATGCCTTACCGCCCCAGCCATGTCGGTGCTGCTGCTATGTACTTGGCACGACTGATCCTGGACCGCGGAGAATGGGTAAGTTATATATGGACTTCTCTTACTCGCCATATTATCCTGTGGCTAACACTCATGATTACAGGACGAGACTATCGCGTACTATGCTGGCTATACCGAGGAGGAGATCGAGCCTGTTTTCCACCTCATGGTCGACTATCTGGCCCGTCCCGTCATTCACGAAGCATTCTTCAAGAAGTATGCCAGCAAAAAGTTCCTCAAGGGTATGTCAACCAACCGGCTTTTGCTTGCCTCGTAATCTTATTCTGACATCTTCTTAGCATCCATCCTTACTCGGCAGTGGGCCAAGAAGAACGCTGTTCTCTATGGCGTTGTTGACGCTGAGATTCCTCTTGACCAGCTCAAGGACCGCCCTGTTGACCAGCTGCCTTAAGCTTGTCTGGGTGCATCCTGCGTCCACGGGTTAGCATTTGGGTTCTAACCTATGCAATATCCTCAGGATAGGCTGCGACGCGGTTGGATCCCGCTGGCGTTTGACGACAAATCATGAAGTTATAGATGACGGTATGCCTTTTGTCTCTGAATTCAATGGAGACCGCGTTCGTCCAACTTTTCTATTCTCACCAAAAGAGCATCCTATTACCTGCTTGATGCACAGGGAGCTGGTTCTAGGAAACGCGGCGAAGGATAATCACCTGGCCCGCACTGACGGGCAGGCTTTTGTTTTTCCTTCATTTATTCGGCATGGCAGGTTTTTGTTTTTGCAATGCTCCTTATTCACACGCTCAAACTTTTCTTTGCGGTGGCGTCAGGTGTCAAGGGAAATCAGGGAGAGGCGTAGAGGTATCTCTTTATTTTATGGTCCTCCGTGCAGAGGGGGCTTCAAAGGTATGGTTAGGTTGCGGTTTCTCATTATTTACCCCCAATGGTTCGGCACGGAAGTTATCACCACTGTTCTGTTGCTTGCTGCTCTTTCCAGACATCGAATTCTGTGCGCGATCAAGCTCGGTGCATGGTATGATCCAAGGAGAGAAGATGCATGTCATTCATTGTGTGATAGATATGAAGCAACGGTTTTAGCGAAAGAGAAAACAACGAAAATGGTGGTCCACTGGGAGGCAATGAACGCATGGTATGGGAAGGTTCCTGGCGGCGGCAAGGGGGAAAAGCACTACTGTACATAGATACATTCTGTCGGATTACAAAGTCCTCATTTGTATGGGCTGCTACTTGGTCCGAGGCACATGGAATGGAAAGCATAAGCATAAAGCAAGTGTCTTGGCGGATGTGATCCTTCGTTGTGGTTTTGTATTGGTCATGAATATGGTGTTCGCGGGAATGGAATGGATCAAGGTTTTACGCAGTAGCGATACCCATGACTTTATCGAGGGCAGACGATGATGATAGAACAACAATGTTAGCGTATTCCTACCCACCTTGATGAAAAGGACGTCAGATGCCCAATCGAGGCTGTGAATGCGAGTGTCATCGCCAGTTGGAGGCGTGACATTCCAAAGCCAGGCAGGTTTTGACCCAGAACTGTGCTGTTCAGTTCGGAGATTGTCTCATTCCAGTGTGACGATGCTCTTGTTTACTTGAAGACTGGGCTGATTAGGATACACATTCCTATAGGTAGACTCGCTACTCGCGTGTTATCCCAGCTCTTGAACGAGCTAGATAACTCACAACCTAGTGCATAGGTCATGTCAGTACGTTAATAGGAGAAGGCGACACAGTTTTGTGAACAGTGCCGGAAGTAGATGTAGGCCACAAACAGCTCGGATCCGACCTGTTTAGTAGGTAGTCAACCTCTTTCTTCTCGTCTTCTCCAACGGATAGCAATTCCGACGAGCTACTATATCACCAGGAAGGAGGCAGCAACGCTTTCACTGCTACCACTCAACTCCCATAACTACACACCTCTCCTCCAGACCCAATCGGCCCTACCTGACTGATATCTTCAGTGCGACCTCCATTCTTACTCCCTCCTCTTGCTTTTCTTCTGGGCGTATGTAATTCCCCATCTCATCCCCACAGCAAGCAAGCCAGCGACATTCAGTCCCCTTCCATTCCCGTTTCTATTCCCGCTCTCTCCTCCCCTCCCGCCGGTCGGTCCATCATGGTCGACCACCTTCGCACATCTATCTCATTTCCTTACCTCTTACTTACCCTGCCCAGCCCTAATACCCTCAACAACACCCCCAACCACCCCCTCCAACAACCCAACCCTCACCCCCCTCTCCTTCTTCAACCACCTCTCCAACTCTCTCTCCCTCTTCTTCCTCTCTTCTTTTGCCATTTCCTTCTCCTCCTTCTTCTTCATCTTTTCTTCTTCTTTTTTAGCCTTTGCTGCTTCCTTTTGGGATCGGAGTTGAGACTCCTTTTGAAGGCGGCGTTTGGTCATGAGTAAGAAGCTGGCTTTGGTGGGCGCTGGTGCTGGTGCTGGGGAGTGTGGTGGGTTGGTGGTGGTGCGGAGGGTGCCGCCGCCGGTTAGGAACCAGATGAGGATCGGGGGTGTTTTTTCTTCCTCGGGAGGAGGAGATGGTTTCTTTGCCGTGGCTTTGCCCTTGACCTTGGCTTTTCTTTGGGAAGGGGGTTGAGGACTTTGCGTCCCTTCAACCCTATCGTCGTCGTCAGGTGGGGGAGGTGGTGGTGTTAGCGGTGGTGTTGGAGGCAGTTGGGGCCATGGATCCTCCAGAGGTTCCGGCAGAGGCGTTGATGGACGCGAACTTTCTGGGAGGAGTGTTGTTTCGTGACTGTTGTTGTCTTTCGACTGGTCACCCTCGCGAGGAGGAGAAGAAGCTGGTGAGGCAGCTGACGATGCGGGCCTGGACAGGGTCGGGGGTTGAGAAGTCTCTTCGGTCGTTTCCGTCAGGTGTGTAGTGTTGGCTTGGACTTCAATATCTCCTCTGTTTAGAGTGTCTTGGGATACTACTGTATCTTCAGGGTTGATATCCTCGTCCAAGGCGTTTCGGTTTTCAGTCTCTTGGCTTTTAGTTTCCTGATCTTCAACCTCCTGGTCTTTGACTTCCTGCTCCGAGACTTCCTGGTCCTCGGCCTCCTTGTCTGTAGACTCCTGGTCTGTAGACTCCTGGTCTGTAGACTCCTGGTCTGTAGACTCCTGGTCTGTAGACTCCTGATCTGTAGACTCCTGGTCTGTAGGCTCCTGGTCTAAAGACCCATCATTCGCCGTCGTCTGGGCCGAGTCTCCTGCTCCACTGTCTTCACTTGCGGTTTCCTGGACTGTTGTATGTCCAGCTGAAAGATCCTGGGCTGTGGCATCTCCGGCCTTAGCTCCGTCTAGTTGAACAGGGTCAGATTCACCCTCAGGTTTAATGTCTTCCGGCTCCGTAGGCTCGGCTTCGACCTCCTCCTTTTTCGAGTCTTCAGGGTTTGCATCCTCGGATTTGGCCTCATCGTGCTCATCACTGTCTTCCCGTCCAGCATCTTTGACTTCATGATCTTTCACTTCATGATCTTCGGCCTCCTGGTCCTTGATCTCCTTGTCTGAAGATCCGTCTTTCGCAGTCGCCTGAGGTGTGTCTCCTGCTGCTCCACTGTCAATGGTTGTGGCTTCTTGGGCTGTAACAGCATCTTCGCCACTAGTTTTTTCTGGTTTCACAGCTCCAGTTCCAGTATCTTCCGGTTCAGAATCCCCGAACTTTGTAGACCCAGCCTCGAGATCGCCATGTCCCGAGCCTTCGGGTTTGGCATTCCGAGATTTATCGTCTTGGTTCTTGGCCTCGTCGGACTTGGCGTCTCCTTTTCCAGCACCTTCTGATTTCAAGTCTTCGGGCTCGAGGTTGGTACTATCAATGCTGGCATCCCCGGATTTGATATCGTCGGGCTGAACAGCCTCCGTTTCAGCATCTTCAGGTTTGGTACCTTTGGCCTTCGTAGACTCAGCCTCGACATTCCCATGTCCAGAGTCTTCAGGTTTATCATTCTTAGAGTCAGTGTCTTGGTTCTTAACCTCGTCGGGCTCAGCATCTTCGGGACTAAGATTCCCTGGCTCGGACTTGGTATCCTCGTTATTGGTATTCCCGGATTGGGTATCATCAGGTTGATCACTCGAGGCCGTGTTGTCAGGCGGCGCTGCTGTGGTAGTCATTGCCGGGTCTACTAGTGCATCTTCAGGTTTAGCATCTTCAGGCTTCGTAGACTCAGCTTCGACATCTTTATGTCCCGAGGCTTCAGGTTTGACATCCTCAGATTCGGCGTTTTGGTCCTTGGTTAGGTTGGGCTCATCATCTTGTCGTTCAGCATCTTCGGATTCGAGATCTTTGGGTTCGGGCTTGGTATCCTCGTTGTTGGTATTCTCCTTATTGGTACCTCTGGCATCGTCAAGTTGATCATTTGAGGCCGTTTCGTCAGGCGGCGGTGCTGTACTGTCCCTCGCCGGGTCTGCGGTGGTGGTACCGGTGCTTTCCTTGTCATCGATTGTAGATGTCGCCTCCGCATCTAGATTCTCTCGGTCCTCGCTGGCCATTGTATTGTCCTTTTGACAAGGTGATTATAAAAAGTTAACTCGTGATGCTGCTGATACACTCTATCGTGAACGACTCTCCAGAGACTCGGGATAAGCGTGGGTTTGGGCGAGCTTTTAAAGGAGGCACAAAGTACGGTCGATCCCGTGGGGTCATGACATGGAAGGTACAATCTTGATGTGGTGAATCATTGTCCGATTTTTCGACATAGTTTGCTGTACGGGACATGGAAACCACCAATTTAATCCCTTAGTAGCAGTCGCGTGTCATGTGCTACATACCCGATGCCGTATGGTAGTTCTCTACGAAAAGGGGTTATACATCTCCCTCGAGACCATCATCTACTGACTGCCGGAGCGTTTGCATCCTTCACCTTCACTCGCCGGTGCCACAAACCATTTATACACGCCACCGTCCAAGAGCCCATTCTATCCATCTTAAACTTCCCCATCAGTGCACGGCACCAACGGAAACACGCTGTCCAGCAGTCATGTCCGTCAAGCTGAGCCGACATGAATGCCGTCGAGAGGTCATCATCCTCCGCTTGGCCGCCCTACACCTAGAGACAAAGCTCCTGACAATAGCCTGATGGATCGGTTGCTTCATGACATCGCTTGGTCCATACGTCGGGATCATGGATGCGTCTGCAATAACGGACCACTCGTCTGACCCAAATCCTGCCGAGTCGGTTGTCACCACCATGTCTACCACACTTCTCCTCATCCCTCGTGGGTGCTGATAGGAAAAGGGCATGCGCATCGTCGACATGTTGGCGTCGAAGTTGATGGGCCCACTATCCCGTCTCCGATCGTTCCAAGAAACCATTTCCGTGTCGTCGAACTCTTCGACGGTCGAAAAGGCAATGTCGATCAGGTCAAAGCCTGGGGAGAGGGGCGTTGGCGCCAAGCTGTCGCTGCCGTCTTCGTCCGAGGGAACTATCAGGATGCTGCTGGGCACCGTGATGATTTTGGCAGATGCGGACGGAGTGCACCCGTCGTCTTCGTGTTCTTGACGGCTTCGCTTGCGGGACCGTAGCGTCCGCGAACTGACCCTCATGGTAGCGCGGAGGGGTGTGGGAGGTGCCTCGCCGGGCCTTCCCAATGATCGCTCAACCGCCACACATCCGTTAGATGCCTTGGGGGTTGTTGTTGTTGCCATGGCCACGTAGTAACCAAGCTCGGGAGCGAGTCCTGCGTCGGAGAGTCGGGTCCTGAAAGAACAGGGATCGTGTCTTTTGGCGAGAGCCACGATGGGAGTGGTTGGTAGCGGCGACTCTACTGCCCTTCTCTTGTCTTCCTTCTTGCTTCTAATCCTTTTCCGGGACATGAGGCGCCTAAGTCTGCCGTTGATGCTGTCGGGATCTTGGGAGGGGCTGAAGGAGAGCGCCATGTTTGCTGAAGATGGATGAATGCGATCCCAGAGAAATCTGAGGATCTCGTGAATTCGTTCTGCTGAGAAGATGGTGTTGGTGGGCTGACGTGACGAATGATGTCCAGCGAGGTGTTGTCCTTGATTGCGCTGGCTGCAAGGAGGGGTATATTGCATTACTCTTGAGTAGACGTTCTGAAAGGTGCCGGCACCTGTACTTTGGAGCTGTTGTCGTCTCGGTGTTTGCTTGCTGCGTGACTGTCTAATTTGAAAGAAGGAGTGGTGAAGGAGTTGGAGAGGAAAGGTTGAAAGCTTTATGCTGGTGGTAGTCAACGGGATGAAATCCAAGTTGTTTGGTTCTGCGTATCGTCGTATCCAGACTCCTGGCGGCACGCGTGGCTCAGCAAGCACAGCTGCAGCTGAGTGAGGTTTGTGCCGTCAAGTTCGGTGACCAACGCCCAGTGTGCGACCAGCGCTCTTGTGCGTAGAGCCAAGGTTTGTTCCTTCCTTCGGCTGAGATGTCTGGTGGGAGAGTGGAAGCTTCCGGATGAAGCGGTGACCACAAGTGCAAGTGCAACTGTCGAACTTTGTTTCCCTAATCAATCTTTGTTTAGGCCGGACGATGTCATGGAACGTCAGACGAAACAACGTTCCACTGGTGGCAGCTGTCTCTCAGCAAGCTCCATGCGACGGAAGACGGAAGTCAAGTGGAAGGAAAGAAGAAGCGGACGGTGAAGCTGCACAGAAGCTTCCCAGACATGATGCCTATCCCATGCTGCTTGCTTCGTGCTGACACGCGTCTCTCTTTAAATAACTGGGCACCTGTAACCATTCGTGTAAAGTGCACCCCACATGGGAACGTCTGGACCAGTATCCGACGCTTTTAGCCTTGACATTCACCTGATGAGGAAAAAGTGGAATGACACGAACCATGTTGAGCTTGGTGCCCGACATACCCGGTTTACGGTGTGAGATGGGCTATTGAAAGCGATTCAGCAACAAGGCGGACCAAACAGAGGCGGCAAAGGCGCTCAGGAAGTTGCAAAGTGGTAAAATCAGCTTGATAAGCTGAGGTGTAATCACACGTTCCTCGCCTTGACCTTCTGGGTGGACAGAAAATCCACAGAAATTCAAAATTCTGAAAGCTCGCCGGGCCGGGCCTTTCGCGTCACCGCCTTGCTGTCGTTGGCCCCCGCAGCCCCCCAAGGCTGGGCAACACTGTAGCGAATCCAAGACGGCCACATGTATCTGGGGGAATTACTAGCTTGCAAACTAGCACCACATGCGTGTTGACTGCGGATGTCAATCATGTGGCTCATCGTGATCGTGCAAGACAGACGGGACCTTCTCATCAAGCCAAGAGATACCGGAGCACGAAGCAGAGGACGGGACCGAATAGTGGGGTCTGGCCAGCCGGAAATCGGTACGTTCCGAGACCCATATCGGGCCCCACACCGGTAGATCAGCCCCGCTTACCCCCACAGACGAACGAACCGGATAAATCGACTGTGTGCCATGATAAATCGACTGTGTAGCTTTTCGCGGGCTGCCCCTAAGGTTAGTGTTAGGGTTAGCGGTTAGGGTTAGGTGTTAGGGTTAGTTCCGGGGTGCAGGGGGCCGGCGAGAGGCCCCCGCGTGTGAATGAGAGTTCAGCGTTCTGAAAAAGGTAGTTTTGAGCTCTCGTTGTCGTGGTTCAAAACAATGTCTTTGGTGATGACTTGGTGATAGTTGCGGCCGCGCGAGAGCAATGCCAAGCGATGCCAAGCTTTTGGGTCTTGGCTGTCAGTTTGTATGGGCCCCACACAGTCGATCAAGAATCGAACACAGTCGATTTATCCGGCCCGCAGACGACGGGAACACGGGAACACAAATCCCGGTTATCGGTACAAGATATCTGAAACAGCCTTGAGACATCCCAAGCATAAAACAAGCACACAGCAGTGAGTTGGCAGAGAAGATCAGAGACAGCACGAAAGTTCTCGACATGGCAATGAGGTTTTTATTTCGAGACAAGTTATCGCAAGTTTTGTCACCATTCTTGACATCATGATTATGTAGTCTGCCTGACCACACCAACATATCATGATATCACCACCAAAAAAAAAGTAGACGAGTCCAAAATCCGTAAAGATAAGACGCCGCTCGAGAAAAATACGCTTCCAGTTCCAACAATAAAGGAGCCTGATGATCCCCAGGCCGTTTTTCAATACTTCCAGCGAGAGAGAGACAAGAAACAAAACCCCAACAAAAACATATACCCCAAGCGCCGGATCAATCCGTGTCAAGCCGGTCGGACATCAAGCCGCCGCCATTGAGTTCCTAATTCCCATTTCCGTTCCCATTTCCCATTACTCCCCAAACTTGACATGTCCTCATTTTCCTTCCTTCCGTCTTCCAGAGCTCGCGAGGGTCGGGGTTCTTTCTTTTTTCCATGAACATCAAGGTCGTTCCTCCTTGGCCGTCAATGCCCCGGTAGTAGGTAGGCAGGTAGGTATCAAACCACACACACTCCTTCACAGCCTCCTCAAAAGGACCGCACCTGCATCTTCTCCCCCAGACTGCAAAAGTGCATATCGTCCGTCGGTCTCGGCTCCAAGACACTGGTGAGCTCTTTGCGGCCAGCCTCCTCATCCTCCTCCTCGGGTTCCGAAGGCACCAAACGGATGCCGAACAAGGAGCTGATACTGCTTCCGGCGCGGTTGAGCGTACTGCGGTTGAGCGTGCTGCGGCTGGCCGTTGAGCTGGCTGGCGATACGAGCCTTTCCACCTCGCCGTCTGAGCTGCTAGCCCGCGATGAGGTCGACGATGAGCGGGACCGGCGGCTGCGCAACGAGGTCCGGAGACCGTGAGGGGTGAGGCGGGCGGCGAGGGAGTGGAAGCGTGAGTTGTGCATTTTGAGTGGCTGGCTGTGATGTCCGGTTGTTTTTCTTTCTGTTTCGAGTTGTCGTCGTCGTCGTCGTGAAAGAGTGTGGAGTGACTCCGGTGGTATGTAGTGAGTGGCAGCGTCTACTGACGGAGGTGAAACCAAAAAAGAGAGTAAGGTGACAGAGACAATGACGAAACAACAAGAAGCCGGCTTCTGGATCGTCTTTTTTTCAAGTCAATGTACCGGAGATGGGGAGGTTGAGGAACTTGACGGCGAGCTCGAGCTGACGAGATAAAAGGGCAAAAGCAGGACTCGGGACAGAGAAGCGTGCGATGGTCCCTTTTTAAGTTGGTAAACCATCAGCATTGGTAACCGTCTTGATGGAAAGTGCAAGGGTCTACCTAGACTCACTTCGTCTTCGATCCGTCTGGAGCCGGGAAGTCACTCCCAGGGGGTGCTCGGCATAGGAAGGGATGGATGGAAACCACTACTACCCTGCCTTGTGACTATCGCAAGAACTACCTAAGTCAGGCAAGGGGGTATGGAAAAGTCGAATCGGTCATGCATTCCATGAAACAGGACCAACCGTCCCGGAAAAGAAGGTCACGGTGACTGTGATGCAGGGAGAAGCCAACCGTCAACCAAGCCAACAGTCCAAACTCGACTCTCCGAGGGCAAGCACAGAACACCAACCCAAGTCATGATACCAACATCGATCTCTCATATTTGCGAATCGTGATATCATCGGACATTTTCAGTTCTGTGACCTTTGTGATTCAGTGCTCGTATGGAGATGGAGACATGGACCGGTACGGGGATGAGGACGAGGATAGCCTCAAAAGGAAAGATGCGATCATGCATAAGATGGAAGTCTGGCCAGACCACCGATGCATCCCAAGAGAAGTGGTGAAACAAGTTCCGAATCTTCGCCTTTTGCCCTGGTTAAGCGGGACCTTTTTGAAACCAGCACAATGGGGCTCGATGGGTGGTGATTCAAATCGCAGGGGGGACTCACACATGGTCCTTAACAAACCGGCAAAGTAAAATGCACTAGGAGATGTTAGTGCCTGCCCCCCCACACATCAAGTGGGGAGGGCGCACGTTCGAGCGGTTTCAGGGGTATTGGAAAGAGCGACGCTAGCATGTGTTTCACAAGGAACATCACGAACCTCATCCTCGCCTCTGTCAATGCTACCCATCCACGCCCCTTTCCCTTCATAACCTAAGCCACCTCCTCGTGTGCCTGCATTACTGCATAACATCACATCTTGGGCAAGCCCATGGATAATACTGCCGGTGACTCCATGTTTTACTCACCATCCATCTGACTGATAATGTCCCTTATCTTGTGTCCCCTCAATGACCATACGACAAGAAAAGGATGACGACAAGGGGAAACAGTGCGAAGACGTCAATGACATATCGAGTCGCATTATAGACTTCAAGAAACAACCACATAACGCCCCGGCTTGCTCAAGAAAGACGCACCATGTGTGCAAAAATGAAATCATAATAAAATATTCTTTCCCCATAACCTCTCATCATCCTCGCATCTTCAAGTCATTCAATAAGCCCCCGAGTACCCTCCTCCCGAAGTTCTCGACCCTCCTCCCCAATCCGTATTATTCTGGCCCCGTCTCATTGTCGCGCTCCTCCTGATACTGGCCACCCACACGGAATCATCCAGCATGGAGCTGAGCTGCGCGGGACGGACCGAGCTTCCGCGCTTGGCACCATCGCCGCCGGGGCTTCTTCCGCCGTTATTATCATCCAGACCACTTCCGCCGCCCAATCCCATGCTACCTATCGTCCCTGACCCGCCGCCCCAGCCACCAGGCGAAGGGGCGTTCCCTCCTCCGGTTCCTAGAGAGTCGTGCAGTTCAAAGCTGTAGGCATGAGTGTTGCGATGTGACGCCGAGTTGGACGACTGGTTCGCGCGAGGGCCGGCGAGTGGATGGCCGTACGAGGTATCAAACGACGAAAGATCGGCGCTCACCCCAGACCAGCTGCGGTGATGAGCTGCGCGAGCGTTGTCTGCCGATAGGAAGGATGCGGCACCGCCGGGATTGAGTGTACTGGAACCAGAGCCGAACGGATTCGTGGGTGTGGATTCGAAAGGATTCGTACCAGCAGCACTACCGCTGCCGCTTCCGCTAGCTCTCGCGCTGTTGTTGCCGTTGCTGTCCTTGTTTTGCTGTTCATTGTCTGTTTGATCGTTATCCACGTAGATTTCTGGCACGCCCAGCTGTGGAATCGCCGTGAGCCGAGCAGACCGCTTGAGCTCCATGTGGCGCTGAAACTTGCGAGAGTAGTAAATCATGTCGAAGAAACCGAGGACGGTGCGACGGTGTATTTCCTCCTCAACGCGTTGGAGACGTGAGCGGCGACGAAGGAACTCCTCGAGACTGTGAAAATTTGTCAGCAATCAGTTGCGTATTTGCTCGACTTATGGAGTCTGGTACGCACCGTAAGCTCTTGCTGTCGTTAATAATCTTGTAATGTGCCAGAATCATAAGAACAGTGGTAAAGGAAATGCCTCTCTCTGGATCCGCAGACACCATAACCTCCTCGAAGAAGATGTTGAACCGTCGTCTGCGTTCTCGCACCTTGGCGACATCAATTTGTGATATCCGTTCGTTTAACTTTTTGAGATCCAAGCTGGTTTGAAACTGCGTGGTACTAACGATAGAGGCATGTCTGATGCTTGACGTATCTTCACCACGAACATCTTCGAGGATCTGGCGCACCGAGTCATGACTTTCATAGATGCGCATCTCAAACACGCCCGACAGTTCACCCAAGAGGCGCGGGAAAGCCTCCTTACTGATGAACCCAGTTCCCGAAGGGTCAACACTGCGCCATGCTTCCTTGAAGCGCCGGATCTCGTCCCGATCCACCATGGCAAGCCCGCTTGTCCGCTGGAACACGTACGAGAAACTTTCGTATATCAGCGAAACGAACAAGTTGACAAAGATGTACATGCTGATGATGTTCCACGCGATGAAAAGGGCACGCGCCCATGCGGTGCTACCGCAATCGCTGTCAGAGAACTCGACGCCCTCAACACAAAGCGGCGGTTTGATCTTAGCATAGTCTTCCATGACCGCATTCCAACCCTCTCCGCAACTGAACCGGAAGAGTAGGAGCAGGGCATTCGGCACCGTGCGGAGATTGATATTGTAATCAGTTTGCTCTCCGAAACGGGTAAGACTGAACGTCTGTGTAAGTGCAATCGCAAACACCAGGAAGAAGGCGAGCCATGTGGCCAACAGGCTTCCGATAGTTGTCAGACTGGCGGCAGCTGTCTTGAATAGTTGGTCGAGCGCATCATTGCGGGGAATGAGCATTAGGACGATCGCCACCAGGAAGAACTTGTGTAATTGAATGTACGTGTCCAGCTTCGTGTTGGTCATGAAAAGGATCGTCGTGGCGAATGCACCAGTAACAGTGACAAGGGAGAACATGTCCCAAGAACTCTTGCGGAAGCGGCTCCAGCCAAGCCCCGCAATCCGAATCACGATGTTGGCGATGTAGATGAGAGTGAAGAGCAAGAACAAAGCGTCTCTGGTGTCTGTCCACCAATCTGGCTCGCTGTCGAATTCGGAGAGAAGGAGGACAAGATGGAAGACCAGAACGCTGGTGATGGCCACATACCATTTCCCTCGCTTCTCGATGGCACGTTTATGGCACCATATCCTCCACTTGTTCTTGCTCTCGTCATATGAACTTTTTGACGGCGAGATTTGGCGGAGAAGCTTCCGCAGCTCGAGCCAGGATCTTTGCTCGGCCGTCAGGAAAGCAACACCTGTCTGTTCAGTATAGTTTCTCATGAAGACGGAGATAAAGAGCGTCAACACAAAGACTGTCGCCAATAGGTTGAAGACGACCAAGAACAACGCGTTTCCCTGGCCGCTGTAGGGAGCCCCTGACTGTGGCTGCAAACCCCTATCGGTAATGGCTTGAAGAGCGAAAGACACGTCAACCCAGCCCTCCTGGCTCACAATCTGGAAAAGAATGAAGAGAGACGAGCCGAAATCGTCAAAGCTGAAGTATGGGTTCGATACTGATCTCGGAGCAAGAACGGGCCAATCGTTGTTGTAAGGAGTACTGTTCCATTCACCAAAGCAGTCATCCAGTCTGACTATTCCCTCCGAGCTGTCGTTGCATGCAAGCAGTTTACCGTGGAAAAGGTTGACTCCATAAATAGCAAAGGGAATAAGTAGGGAGATGGAAACGAAAGCAGCGCTCAAGATCTTCCACCCGCCAACGATAAGGAGCGAGTGGAAAGTGTCCCTTGCACTTTCGCTGATGTTGAGCAGACGCAGGGCCCTTAATGCTTTGAAGGCACCCACAGCTCTAGACACGGCTCCGTTTCGGGTAAATAGAGTGATGACGTTGATCCAAAGAGTTATGAGCACAATGGCATCAATCACACCCCAAGTGCTGCGGAAGTATGCATTTGGTGTCCAAAGGAAGCCGTCTGCGATAACCTTGATGAGAGCTTCAAGGGTGAAGACAATAGCAAACCCCGTGTCTGCCCAGACGAACCAGTTAAACGCCGTTTTGCCATACTTTTCGAAATATTCCTTTTGGTACAAGGGTGTGGTGATGCAAGCCAGCACCACCATGGCCACGATGGCCGCATAAATAAGAGTCGAGAAGGTGTACCATGCATACGTATTAGGCGGGGCTCCCTCGAACCGCTCAGTTCCCCGACCAGGGCCGACCAGACTCTGGCAAATTCGTCGTATGGGATTTCTGGGTTTGAAAATGAACAGGGAATTGTTGTAGTTGGGGTGGCGCATCAGGTACTCTCTCTGTTGCCTCTGGCGGCGTTTTGTGGCATTCATCGCCTGGGCGGCCATAGTCCGTGGATCGAGATTCTCACCTAGCCCATCCAGATTGACGTTCGAATAGAAAGGGTTGGGTTCACGGCTAGTAAACAGTGACACGAATTTTCCCCAAAAAGAGGAGAGTATCCCGGGAGTGACGCCGTCATATTCCATGGTTGTACTACTACCCAGATGGGGAGTTGGTTGGCCATCGGGAGCGCTTTGCTGGAGAGGGTCCATATCGTCGTCAAGGAAGTCGTGTACCACGGCCTCTTTCAGAAGCATCTCCATCATAGCAGGGCCATAGTCGAGCGGATCCCTCTGTTTTTTTGACCGGCCAAAATTGAAAACTTTTGATAATGCCAGGTTGCTCGAAGAAGAATGTCCCAGCTCCTTGCGCTGGAGGAATGCCTTGACCTGTTCAAGACGCTTGACATCCTCTCCAACATCGAAATTTTCTTGGATAACGGCAATGAACATGTTGATTAGAATAAAGTAAGCGAGAATGAACCAGCCGACGAGGAAAATGGCGCCAATCCAAGCAGTGTGCAGGTGGTGGGTGCTGGCAGTGACGCTGTAGAGAATGTCGGTCCAATTCTCAGTCGACATAACCTGATACATTCCGAGGAAACAGTTATAAATGGTGTTAAACGGGATTCTGATCTCATCTCCATCATCATCTTGTCTCGGTAGTTCGCCACGGAACAATTGCGCTGCGAAGATGGCCATCAGAAAAGTGATGAGGAAGACGAACGACATCAGGTTACCGATACCGGTTACGTTTCCGAGCACTTGCCGAATTAATTTTCTTGTCATGGGAATAACCATGACCAGACGGTAGACTCGCAGGATCTGGAACGCGGTAAGCCAATTGTAAACCTGGCCAGAATTCCGGATAGGAGGGATGAGGATAATCGAGGTGGCTACAGCAAGCCCAAGGTCGACAAGGTTCCGTTTCCTACGGTGGAAACCTCGGATGTCTGCAGCCAAGCGGATGATGATTTCGACGTCTAGCAGAAGAGTGACCACAGGCTCTGCTATATTGACGAAACGCTCTCGGTCCGACTTCATCCTGGCGCTGCGGAGAGACTGGGCCAAAAGTCCAAAAGCGACGATCAAGATCCACAAAGGTTTTGTCCTGTTGTATATCTTTTGCAACAATGTCGGTCTGCGCACGGCATCATCAACTCGAGATGAAGTCATGCCAGGAGGTTCATCCGCAGTAAAAGCGCTAGCCTTGGACTCTTCTCGGATGACCTGAAACGACGACGTGATGACGGCAATCAGCAAATTGGTCATCCAAAGCATCATGATAATAATGCCAGCACCATAGAAGAGGGCCGATGGGAGGAAATCCGAGCTGATGGTGTAATACATCAAGTCCGAAAAGGTGTTGGCGCTCATGATGACAAACACGAGCTCCAGAGAATGGCCGATATCGTCGAAGTTGACCGTTCCATTGAAGGGATTTTGTTGCCGGATACATATCGACCCTCTCGGGCAAATGAAGCCCTTGGCACGCGAAGTTCCGTTCTTCAAATCAGTTAGGGACTCCTTTTCGTCACTATAAACCCAAGGCATGGTTTCACCAGTCGCGTTATCGATATGCCCTCCACAGAAAGTCATGTCCGGCGTATAACCTGCTTGGAAGTTGGTGGGATCATCGGGATTTATCCAAAGACATTGACGACTCAGACTTGACTTAAAGCTCTGCACGCCAATGATGGCAAAGAGAAGCCAGAAGAAACCCATCAAGAAGGACACTCGAACGAGCAACGGCGCGGCCTTTTTCAGACTTCGTAAGATGATCAGATTCCCTTTCGTAAGGGCAAGTAATCGAATGATGCGCAAGCAGCTTAGCATGCGGAAGACGTACAGATGGTGCTTGCTCTCAAGACCAGTGACGCCTAACACGAAGGATATCCAGAAGGAGACAACGGCTACGAAGTCCAACCTATTAAAGCCATGGCGGAGAAACGCGCGGCGAGCCAGGTGGCGTCGCTGTTGATCTTCGAGCGTTTGGATTTGACTGTGGGCCATGGTAAAGGATCTCGTAAACGGAGCAGGCTCAAATTGCTCTTGTCGGGGTTGACGGACCGACCTCTGACGCTGAGGTCGGAATATGACCCGATACTGTTCGGCCAGCCTTTCGCGAAAGCGGCGTTTGTTCTTGGCTTCCTCATATTCGGGGGCGTTGATGATGAAGCCAGACACAATGATTCTTGCTATGAGTTCGATAGTAAAGATGACAAACAGGACAAATATGGCCCAGTCTATCCTGGTGCTACCCCAGCGCTCAGGCCGACCGTTTCCATCAGCCAACACATCTGGTGCGGCCTCAACAGCTAGTAGGACGGCTTGAAGAACGATTAAGACGAGAATGAATGGCTCAGCCCATGGGTTGACCAACAAATCGCAGAGCCATAAGCGCAGTGGATTGTCAGGGGGGAATATCCCCAGCGACTTGCCCTTGAGCGGATTGTTCCTAGGGTCGTGTCGTGACCGGGGCCTGAAGGCTGGGTGCTGCTGTGGATAGACATGATGCGATTCAGGCCGCTTTTCCGTGGGGTTTTGTCCTATTTGTGACGGATAGGAGGTGTCAACCAGCATGGGGCCCGATGCGTGGCCCGGCCGCGGGCGTTCCATGCTCGGCGAGCGTGAGCGGTCTCGTTGCGATTGCTGGTCAATCAAGTCACCCTCTCCACTGATCATGACAACACGCTGAGACATGGCCCTCATAATGGAACCTGCCCTCGACAAAGCGCCACTCGTTGATAGTGACCGAGAGCGGCGTCTGCTATCATCGGGAACCAGACTATCTCCATAACTCCGGTGACGGTCCGCGGTAAAGTTGTTTTCCAGATCAAAACCAAGCATGGTGTTGCGGGGTCGCGAGGAACCATCACCAAGATCAGAGACGGTCTGGAAACTATCCCTTGGTACAGCCTCTCCTTCTGGTGCGTCCAAGCGACCGATGGGCTGGGCTGCGGGCTTCAGAGGGACACTATCCGACTCCAAAGAGTCCGTATCGGTACGCTCCTCGTAATAGGGGTTCGGTACACTGTAGGGGTCATGACCATGGCCAGAAATATTCGGAGGCAAGGCGAACTGAAGCGCCATATGGTCGATTGGCGAATCAGCGGCGCTTCGGTCGGGATAAGGGTGCTCCCAATACGTCGAGAGCCCAGGAAGGTTGGCGGAAATGGGAGCAGCCGAAGGCGAGGGCATCTGAAGTCCGGCTCCCGAATTGCGGACGTTATCATTGGTTTCGCTAGTCCTCCCACCGCCGCCCTCTTGTCCCTCTGGAACCGGTCGTAGATCGCGCAATGGAATGGACTGCTGGTGGGAAGCAGAGGACACTGAGGCCCGTCGGGGCGAAGGTGTTGGATGGTCGCTCATTTTGATAGATCAACGTTTTTGTATTATTTCTGGGCAGCCTCCGAGTTGAGCAAGACTATTTGTAAGGCTCAGCGCAACGTGCCACGGCTGAGCTGGCGTCGCAGCCATGGACCTGCGCGCTCGAAGTCGGACGAAGCTGACAGCTACGTCGCAATGGTAAGGCGCACTAGTTGGAGTGATATCGAACGTAGCAATGTTACAGTCTCCCGACAACCGCCGTACGTCTTGAAGGATCGGCTTGATGGTACGGGTTCTCTTGGGGGAAACGGCCCGGGGAAACGAATGGATTGATCGCTCAACGGCTCGGTGGGGATTCTCGATTGCTCGATTGCTCGGTCGGTCGTTCGGTCGGTCGCAGGCTAGTTAAGGCGTAGTTCGATGTGATATGCGCTGGGCTCGGGGAATTGGATATCGCGGCAAGCAGGGCAACGAGGGGCGCAGTCAGGGGGCACCAGCTGGATGTGGTGATGGGAATCGCAGAAATCGCAGGGAAGCGGAAGTGTAGACCAGCAAGTATAGAGTAAGGTAACGAGCGAGTAGGGGGATAGATAGGACGGGGAGCGCGGCACTCTTTCTTTTCTTCTCTCTATTTGTGAGTGTCCTGGTTGTTGAACATGGATATTGGTTGTTGAAGAGAAACAAAAAAAAAGGTAAAGGCAATCACAAGGTCAAAGCAATGCTTGCGACGACAGGGTCCGTGGTTCTGCGGCTGTTTTCGGGGATCGGGATGTCCTGACGATGTTGATTGGGAGGGTGAGGTCAGCCTGGTTGAGGATAGATGTCGAGGGGAAGATGTTCATCCATTCTAGAAGTCCATGTTCAGCTTCAAAGTATCATGGATTCTCGGCCCGGGGATGCCAGTGGACGTCTGCCAGGGGTCGGCGGGCCACTGTCCAGCCGCAGTCTCGGGGCAGCCTTGGCACTTGTCAATTCCACTTTGACGTTTCCTGTTCCTGGCGTGCCTTCTCAATCCATCCTAGTGTGCTGCGCGGCCACGGGCGCAGCAGAGGTACTTAGGTGTATGTGCAGATACGGTGATAGGCAGGTACCGTCATTGAATGCTTTTATCAGGGGACTGCGGTCGTTCAGTGAATGGAACCTCAAGGTACTTGTGTGTCAGAGAGTTTCCACTTTTTGACGCGCAGCAAAGCGGAATCAGCAGCGAGCAGTTTACGAACCGCCAAGGTATCTTACAATACGCGTACAGTATCCGGTGCAAAGTCGGGCAGTGAGGCCCCACCTGCCGCACGTGAAACACGAGCGATCAGTGGCATCCCTGCGAGATCTTTGATGACATAAGCAAGTGGAAGCAGCCTCTCAGCCCTGCGCCCGCTGCGTCCAGCTCCACATGTGCCTGCCGCGGCGGGTGACCCACTTGTCAAATGCCGGCCCCGTCGCGAGAGATGTGGAATCCAATTTGTTCAGAAAGGGTACGTACCATACGTACCTCTAGCGGCGCGTCTCTGGAACCCGTTTTTGACGTACGTACTGCACGTCAAGCGCGCCCCTAGTTCCCGGTCCCGCATAGCAGCAGGCCACGGCCGCGCAGTACTACCCAGCACTTCCAATTTCACAGGTTGCCCATTACGCAGTCTCGCAGTAGACGCGCCGCGACGGAAATCTGGACTTAACTTGGTCAACCGTTGCTTACCTATCACCAAGTCCACCACCACCACAAGAGTCCCCGGCTCTCTTGTCAGGCGACCAATTCATCATCATCAAGTCGACCGAAAATTCAGTTCCAATTACTCGGGCTTCATATTCATCTCTTTAGCGGCAGCTCTTCCGGCCCTGTTACTGACAGTTAGCTTGGATACCTACCGACCAACTCCCCACCGAGTCGACCTTTGGCTTGGTCTTCGAGACCACACCTCGCTTCCGTCTAAAGAATCGCCGTACCCATTGACCCATATTCGATACCTATCGTCACGATGCCGACATCGCGCAAGCGGGCCCTCCAAGAGGCCGACACCAGCAACAATGCGCAACCTCCCAAGGAGCCATCCGTACTCCATCGCATAAGGAATATGTGGCAGTTTGCCAACCTTTTCCAGTTCGTCCTCTTGTTCGGAAAGGCGCTTAAACTGGACGACAGTCTTGACATCGAGGTATGTCGGGAGATGCAACAGATTCACACTTGTTCCGAGCTGACATGTCCATTGCGCCAGGACCTCGAGGCCGAATGTCTAAAGCCAGGCTCAATGGTCCTCCAGGACATTGGCCTCGGTATTCTCAAGTTTCTCTCGTCCCATCGAGGCCTTACGTACGTCGACGTGATCCCCACGCCCCGACATCTGTCCCACCTCGTTTGCTTACAGACATTAGCCACGATGTGTTCGAAGAGTACACCCGAAGACAGTTCCTTGCCAAAGCCCCCGAGAAAAATCCATTCGGAACCGAGGATCTGCCTACCAAGTTTGCCGACTTCGACGTCTTCACAAAGGTACGACTTTGTCTAACAACAGCCTTATGACACAAGATGATACTAACATTCGGTCTTTACTAGATCCGTGTACTCCAGCAAATGAGCCAGCTTGTCATGTGTACCCCCGAGCGCCTTCGCGAGAGGACAGAAGAGCAGAAAGATATGGACCAGACAAATTGGGTGCGCAGTATATCTCCATGTTTGACGGGCGCTTTGGTGCTAACGACATGTGTAGCGAATTGAACCATACGGATGGGACAGCGAAGATCGTACGTACTTCGTATTAGATGATAACCGCATCTATCGATTGACCGAGGCCCCGGCCCCCGCTCCCAAACCCAAGAAGAACACCAAGAAGGCCAAGGCGGTCTCTCGAAGCAGCAAAAGACGTCGCGTCTCGGCAGCGGTCAGTGAGGATGGCGATGCTGGCGACGAGGACTCTGTGACAGGGCAACCAGACGGGCCTGAAGATGACGATCTTGGCGGAATGAAATGGGAATGCCTCGCCGTCTCCTTAGACGAGGTTCGTCAATTCCTAGCCACTATCCAGAAATCGAAGGATCCGAATGAGAAGATTCTGCGCGAACAAATCCAGGACCATCTCGTCCCTATTCTCGAAAAACAAGAGGAGTCCAAAAAGCGCAAACAGCTACAACGAGAGAAAGAACTTCAGGCACTGGAGAAGATGGCGCACGCAAAACGATCCAGCCGTATTGCCGGCAAGCTAGAGCAACAGAAGGCGGAAGAACAGGCTCGGGAAGAGGAACGCAAGCGGCGAGAAGAGGAGGCTGCCAGGCGAAAAGAAGAGCAACGGCAAGCCAAGATGGAGAGGGAGAGGGAGCGTCGACTTATGTCAAGAGAAGAGCGAGTGAAAGAGCGAGAGATTCGCCGTCTTCAGGCTGAAGAAGAGCTGGCGCAATTGTCCGAGGACAGCAAATCCGTCGGCTCAGGACCCGGCCGCATGTCGGAGCGGCACCGACAAGCAGCGATTGAGAAGAACAGGAGAGCTCTACAGGAGCTGCAAGACGAGGAAGATGACTGGATATTTGATTGCATCTGCGGCGTCTATGGGCAGGTCGATGACGGAACACATAGCGTTGCCTGCGAGAGGTGCAATGTCTGGCAGCACAGCAAATGCCTTGGTATTGCCGAAAAGGACGCTGAGCAAGAAGATTTCCATTTCATCTGCAGCTCTTGTCGCCGAAGCGAGGCAGAGAAACCCCAACAACCCCGGGTTATCAAGCTGAAGGTCAACCGCCATGCTTCATCGTCCCCTCCTCCTCAGCAGGCGGTCAGTGGCATCTCCCAGTCTCCAGCTGGCCGGTCACAGCTTGTTGTCGAGCTCGAGGCTCGGGCGACGTCTGGATCGTCTACCGATCGTAGTAGCGAGGAGAACCCGCGCTCTGGGTCTCAGGATAGCCCATCGGGGCAACAAGAGGCAGGGACCGAACCAACCAATCTTCCCGGTGAGAAGGAGGGTGCGGCAAGACCGGTCACTGCGACGGGGTCTGTTGGGCATTCGCCAGGGCGACGGGAGATGAACCCATTTTCATCGCCGCATCCCACTCTGTCTCCTCCCAACCAGTCACCCGGCAAGTTGAGAGCATATGACAGCATATTTGACCATTCTGCCCCCTCTCCTGCTGTCGGCCGCGAAAAGTCGGCGCACCTCAGAGAGGAGGGCTCATTGCCTGTGTTGCCGCCCCCTGCCGGAAACGGTCGTTGGGCCTCGCCCTCAAAGCAACCGCAACGGCCGTCATCGCCTCTAGGAACAAAGAGCTCTCCTGCCGCAGGCGCCAGAATAGTGAGCACGCCATTGCCACAACTGACCCCTGTGCAATCCGATCCCCACGCCCGGAATGGAGTCATCGACCGGTCATCACCCTTACCGCCCGCCCGCGGAGGGCTATCGCCAACCAAGCATTCGCCGCCTGTACCGCCGCGCCATCAGGTGAACGGCTCTGCCAGTGCTGGTGCTTCCCCATCGGGGACTGGTCGCGCCGCTCCAGTCTTCCCCCCTTCGGCAGCCCTTGCCCCTTCCCCTCAACAGCAAAATTTGGCACCGCCGATGAAGCCGGTAAAGCCTGTTGAGCCGGCGAAACCGTAGCCACAAACATAGGATGGACCGATGCGTTAGTCATATTCATTGCCAGCTCAAGGTTGAATGACTCCCCTGGTGGCCACAGGTAGAAAAATAAAAAAAATAAAAAACAAGATAAAAAAAGAAGAAGAATCAGATGAACACAAGCTAGTGGCAGGTTTTGCACTGCCATTTGTGCCAAGTCATGGAAGCTACAAAATAGTGGTGTTCGACATTCGGCTATTTTTTCCCTTTGGAGGGACGCCGAGAACTGCTCAAAGAAGTGATCGAGGGGCCAGCGAAGCCTCCCGCAGACTGAGAGTCCGCGGTGGCCTCTCGGGCCCTTGGGTCGGGACCGATAGAAGTCAATCTTCTTTGACATGAATTGTCAGAGTCGGAATCGAGGGGTTGGCCCGTCAAGGTCGGACTTCTTGCGTAGTATATGCATTCTTGTATCTACACAGGCAGGTATTCTCTGTAAATCACAGGTCAGCATCATTAGTGTAGATGGATAGATACAAAATGAAATGGACGTCATGAGAAGAGGGTGATGATGATGGCAGTCCTTGGGATTACCAAGATATCTGTCATGTCGGGTCCCAGACACCGGAATTACCGGGAAGTGGAACACATCAGCACGATGGTCTTACTGAGTGAGCATGTTCAGTTCGTTATGAGACCGCGTATTGAAACACCGACACTGTCATGAAGAGGATGGTGAGAAGTGATAGATTGTCCTCATAGCCGATAGCTCGCAGGAACAGCTGGCTTGGGCTGGGTGTGGATTCAGGGGTCCTGGCCAGCTAGGATGATGAGATGTCCAAGATATTTGTTTTGTCGATATTTCTCAACGCTTCGCGATATCACTGCCGTCCCCAGCCCAGCACCACTCAACCTGTAGCTGGGAGGTATGTGATGGGCACTTGCCGTGATGCTTATCGTCCGACTCACGAGAGATGCCGTCTATTTCAAACTTGCGTTCTTTTTGTTAACTCCCGTCCTCCTAATTTTTCTGGAATGCATCTGGAGTTAGACAGAAGGGATCGCCCTTGAAATCCCACGTGCTTCCAGCTCCATTGAGTTTGCGTAGGCCGAGCATCTTGTTGATGATGGAAAAGAGATGCTCACCTTACCCTATTCACATGTGCTTATGCTATTGGCTAGCTGCCGTATAATCCCCCCTTTTGGCTCCATTGAGAAACAGATCCATGGGGGTTCCCTTTGATCTATCGCGTGTCCCCCTTCCGCCTTTTCAGTCCTCACGTAGGTTTCAAAGCCAAGTCTCTCGCTTCAAGGTTAGCCTTGCCCAGCGATTGACATTCGCTCCAAACAGAAGCGAGCTAGAATCCGGTGCCTTAGACATGGGCAAGGGGTGGGAAGGGAAATGCTAGTGATGCAGCTACCCGACGCCATCTTTGGAGTTTATCGACATCCCTCCAGTGAAATTGTCTACCAAGTTTTCCTTTGCTTGCTTCCTCCCCTCGACAGGGGTCCGTAGCAGAGCGGCGCAAGATATTTCAGATTCCGCACTGCCAAACATGCGCTGTTAGTTGAAGATTGATTTGTGCACGTTGGAAGGGAGGGTGGACTAGAATGCACATCCAACATGTTCCGTGCCTTCGCCCCCAACAGCGGGATGGCAGGCTGATCATCTATCCAACCCACCTACCTACCTCTACACACATCATCTACACCGTAGTTTATGGCATGCATACTAACTCCCCTGGATGCCAGATCTGGGATGCAAACTTGGCTTCCATGGCTTGCTTGGCTTGCATACATGGTAGCGGGAAGGGTCAAAAAATCATAATAATACCACAAATCCTGGTTCTTCTCAGCCTCCATCCCTGGGATTCTAGGGCGTATCGAACCTCCCTCCCTTCCTGATCTTGACCTTGGCAAAAAAGATGCAACTGATGACCGCGCCCAACGCCAGTCATGTGCCAACCACGGGACGGAGATTGGGAGTCGACACTCAAGATAGATAGCAGCACCACCTTGTTAGCCCGCTCCCCGGATCTGGACGTAACACTTGCTCCGATGAAAGAAATTCGCAACGCCATGAGGTCCCTTAGCGGCAGGTTACTAAGTACCTGCCCATGCCGTTTCCGGGAGTTGCCGGCACATTCCAGTCGAGCACTTTTGGACCCTCAACCAAGCCGCCCTCTCCTCGGTGAACACTCCCAGTTTTCCCACTTGCCGCACTTGCGAGCGTACTGTAGTTTGTAGAAATCGCACCGTATTCAAGCCCTCTTTCCCACCACTGTATGCCACTTTCGAAATTGGGACTCCTCAGGTCCTCAGGACAGACAAGCCCCGGAGATGGTTGCGGCGTTCGTTCGTCGGCTGGATGCTCGAACCCGTGGAGCAGAACCAAACAGTCCATGGCCAGGGACCCCAGAGAGACTGTAGAATCTAGAGCCTCACTGGCACGAAAAGGGTCCTCCCCCCATCTGCCATCCCATCCCTCCCCTTCAAGTTTTTGCTGCCGGCTCACTAACCCTACAGCTTGTCTGCTCCCCGGAATCCGGGACCGGCCAAGAACAGTTGGTCGAGGCTCTGCGATCCCTGTGACGCAACGGCTCAATGCCTCTGTAAATAGACATGACCATGGATCATTTTCCAGGTGGCTACCGCTCTTCCCATTCAGATCCCTTCCCTGGGCACGGGTACGTCAGGTTTGCCAGGTCTCCGTAGAGCAACTCGCTCCCACACGGCAGCCCACCCCCCCCTACCCCCTCCCCATGATGTTGCCCGTGTTTGCCCTCTCAGAGAGTTCCCTGAACTTCGCCCAGGTGGCTCTTCCGAAAGCAGCGTTCTCCTGGATGCGGCAAGAAGTACGATCGTAGACCAACCGCACCTCCAGCTTGTTAACAATGTCTAATAAAGAAGTCATGAATAAATACATGCTCGTGGTCTCCCCGCCTTTCTTCTTTCTCTCGTGTGTGCCCCATCAAAAGAGTGCTGCTCTGTCCAAGCCAACAAAGGTAGTCTCTCCTCGCACCCCCTTTTTCCTCCATATCGTTCAGCGAGCGCGGGAGACACAGATCACAGCCGGTCAACAAGCATCTAGCCACTTATCTCCCATACGCAGCGACCTGTGTCTGTCCTGCGGCCGAGCTCTCGCAAACAAAGAAAGGAGGATAGGTACCGCAATCTCCTCCAGCACACAACGCGAACCAGCCCAGAGACACCATCCCAGACAACTGCATCTGCATCGTCCTGCAAGACCGGCTAGAATTCCGGGAGTGGTTGGAAAACAGCGGTAAAGGTGTTCGAACAGACGGACGCACCACCTCGACATCTCCTTCTCCATCGGCATCCAAGAAGCCCGACATTTCTTCCAACCTGAGAGGGAATTCCGATTGGGAAAAAAAAAAGGGCTTGTTTGTAAGAAGACAGAAGAGACAGATAGGAAAGGCATCTCATCCTTGCTAGGAAACGAACAGTTGCAACAACTCTTCGCTTTGCCCATGTCCAAAGCCCGAAACAGCTCGATATATATCACTCCTGTTCCGGTACCAGTAACCGGATCACTTCCTCTTTGGTCATCCACTCCACGAGTTATCCACTAGGACAACAACAAAAACAACAAGCCTTGATATCAACAAGAGCAGCTGGTCTCAGAAAGTCCATTGCTTTAGAAGAAGAAGAAGAAGACGACGACGACGACATAATCGGGCCCAGACGATCAGGAACCAAGAGTACCAAACGACGACATCGACCCAAATTGCATATTCTCTCGCAATGGATAGAAGCACTCCACCTTCAGCTGCCCCATCTGGGATAAGTCTTCATCATGACTATGTTCAACAACACCACCCAATGACCTTCCCGTCACAAATATTGGAGAGTATGGCGCCAGTGCCTTTCCAGACACATTCGCAACCAGGGACAAGATATGGGACACCGGTTCCCCATCCTTTATCCCACTCTCAGAGTTTTGATACCGGACTCCAGCAACAGTACCAGCGTGCCATCAGCGTCCAACCTGTAAGAGAGACATCACATCTCCCCCCATCATGGCGGTGTTGTGTCCATGATATGCTGACATAAGTTGGGAAAATCCAGCAATATCACAACCAGTTGTACGGGCAAGATAGCAGCCCCTATGGCCCTATCCCCGAGGTAAACTCTTTCCCAATCTGGCTTGAACTGGGGTTGTGAGTGGACGCTAACGTGGTACCGTACCCCTTTCAGCCCTACAGCACTCCGGCGACGTCCCCACCGACACCGGCACGACATGCCGAGTTGATGAACAGCAACCACCGAAACTCTCCCCTCAGGAACCTGACTCGGAGCTCCAAGATCGAGAAGAAGGCGCCAAGGAAAAAGAAGTCGTCAACGGATTCGAAGAAGCTCGAGGGCAAAGTAGCAGCCCTACTGCTCGACAAGCCACTAAGCCAGCAAAAAGTTCCCGAAGACTTGGTGCTGACCAACATGGAGGAATACGTGAACCGAGGGAAGGACGTGCGACAACGGGAGGTGGAGAGCGGCAAGAACCCGGGCAAAGTCAAGCGGCCGATGAACGCCTTCATGCTGTACCGCAAGACGTACCAGGGCGTGGCCAAGGGCTGGGCGGACGAGCACAACCACCAGGTGGTGTCGCGGGTGTGCGGCATGAGCTGGCCGATGGAGCCGGAGCAGGTGCGGGAGCAGTTCAAGGCGTGGGCCGAGAAGGAGCGCGAGAACCACCAGCTGGCGTTCCCGGACTACAAGTTCACGCCCACCAAGCCGTCCAAGGCGCCCAAGTACAAGGACGGCAACGAGAGCGACTGCTCGGACCCCGAATGGGACCCCACCGGCAGTATCAGGTCGCGAGCCCTAACGCGCGCTCGCTCGCTGACAAGGGCATCCAGCGATGACTTTGACGATCATCCGCAGTATGTCATGGGCCGCTTGACCTATCCGCCTTATGGGGGGTACTCGGCGGGTATGCATAACACGATGGCAGCCCTTGCCGGGCACCGGTCGGCCTTTGAGTATTCCAACCCGGGCAAGGCCATACCGGCGCCGTATGAGCATCACACCGGGGTGCTACGGGACGGGTCGTACTATGAGGCGCAGGTGCACACGCCGCCGACGAGACATCTTCATCATGGCATGTCGGTTGAGGACATTGTGATGCGTAGGACGCCATCGCCGACCATGGCCTACTCTGGGGGACATGCCCACGGGCTCTCTATGTCCAACACTGGTGGTGCCCACGACTTGCTTCAGTACAGCCAGCCCATGTTTACCGATCACTTCACTGCCAGCCCGGCGAAGTATGACCTCCCAACGCAGCAGTCACAGCTGTTGAAGCAGGAGCACTACGACCACCAACATGAGCAGAAGTACGACCCGCATCTGGAGCAAAAGTACCACCACCATAGTCATGACTCGCAGCACGAGCACAAGTACGACCCCCACCACCATGAGCACAAGTACCATATGCTCGACGAACCGCGCATCGACCCATCGCTAGAGAATGTGTACACGACCTCGGCCGGAGCAGGCATTCACAGCATGACTGGCAATGACGGCGGCAGTGACAGCAAAAACAGCATGACACAGGCGACCACCTCGTCGACGCAGAGCGCATGGCAGCCCAACACATTGGGATCCTCCGGGGGAGCAGGGCCCATGGCGTCGGGGGCTGATAGCGACAACGGCAGTGGCAGCCAGTTTGTCGACAGCTCCTGGCTCGAGGACGAGCACATGCGGGCGCTGAGCGGGGGTAACTGGCATGTGGAAAGCGTGGACCCTCCGCTTCCGGACGGCAGCCACTTTGACACGAGCTGGATGATGGACCAGCCCGCTGTAGCTGACGCGGTCGTCAAGACGGAGCTGGTCAGCCACACGCCGTGAACGATCGTCGTCACGGGTACAGTAACCACCTGGATGGACCCATGTCAGTTAATGTTTTTAGATGTTGATGCTATCTTGGGAAGCGGAGGCACTGCCACAATGGCGTGGTTAAGGGAGGCCGCTCTCTCTCTCTCTCTCTCTTGTTGGGATTCGGAGTTTGGGAAACCAGGTTGCGAGGTCAGGAGTTAGAATTGGAATGAGAACGGGACAGGATCAAGGATGAATTACAATCATGGGTACAGGAAACGGAACGGGCACAAATTTTGGAATTGGGGATTGGAAATTGGGATTGGGAAACAGGCATTGGATGAATCATGGATGGAGAAAGATACCTTGGATACCACAACCACACCCTCTTGGATAGAGACCCTGTATGTTTACCACATGGCGCAAACACACCATTGTATTTTGAGGCTTTGAGGCTTGAGGTTTGTGTGCTCGGGACCGAAGTGTGCCCGGCATCTCTCGATCTGGTTTTCTTATTGTACTAGTAGACCGTATCTGAATGTAGACAAAACTCACCGAGTCATGGCAGCAAACAATTTACACCATGTACTGTATGTCGTGCGCGTTATCTTAAACATGCTCATCTGTAGGTTTTCCTGTGGTTCAATCTCCGGTCATGATTAGTCAATTCATCATCAAGTAAATAAATAAACATGATGCGGTGGAGGTGGCTGTGGTGCTAGGCGGGAGTTTCCGCGTTGAAAGTGAGTGACGACGACAAGCACGGCGGCCGCGACGTTTCCGGCATGTGGTTGTAAAGATCAAGGGTTGTGACTTGGAGTTGAAGTCATCTTCTCCCTGCGAATCCATGGAGCCGCAATTGGCACCCTAGCACCGGCTGACGTGCGATACCACCCTATAGCCCCGCTTGCACAGCTGAGCTTAGTAGCTGCATACAATGATACAAATGCCTTTTTCCTGCATACTAATGTATGGTTTCAGCAGGTTACACACGGTACCTTGTAGCTTTGGACGTCAACATCCAGCACTTGACATCGACATCCATCATCTACATTCCAGACACCTCTACGGCCACAGCACCTGCAATCGAATCTGCCCGTCGCAACCACCCAATTTTCGACGCCTCTTACGCTGCGATTGTATCTTGAACAACGTCAATCATGACGTGGATATCCAAAACCATCACCGTCTTTGGCGGCCTTCTCCTCGCCCATGCGTAAGCATCCCTCCCTTCCTCGCCCCCAATCGCGTCGGACCCCTGTCTGCTACAAAGCCTACTCTACCCTACTCTGACCGGTTCGGATCTAACAATTGCGCGCAAAATACAGATGCTACTCGGCCCAAGAGCACGCAGCACTGCAATCCTTCAAGGCGGCGGCCACGAGCACACTCACCTCGTCCACTCCTCCAGTCGCATCGTCGCTGCCCGTGGACATTGCCATCGAGACCATTGTCGCGACTCTAGTTATCGTGCTTGGTCTGGTTCTGGGAACGCGCCCGCTGCGGCCGATTCAATGGCGCGTCTGGGCCGGCAAGATTGAGCGGGAAGGGGAGGAGGGCTTCTTGGGCAACAACGGAGAGGTGGAAAAGGACTACATGGGCAACCCCTTCAGCTATCTGGAGTCCAGGCCCAGCTTTGTCGACATCCGAAGGCAGCGAAAAGAGTTTGCTGAATGGGTCAAGAACGGTGGCAGCGATGCCGGTGGGAAGAAGTGAAGAGCCCATAGGACGGGATTCAATCGGAGACTCACGACCTACGTTGAGTTGGTGCTATAATCCAGGCCATGGGGTGCATGCATAGTTGTGGTTCAAAGTGAAGAGCATATTGTTAAGGCTTTAGCGAGCCATCTACCTTATTTGGGCTCCTGTGACGGTGGAGTAGATGCCTCATATCTAGCTCCACGACTGCTCAAAGTGCTCCTTCCCAAGTTGTGTGGCCAGGATGGTAGGATAGTTCCTGCCTTGAGCGGCCTTGCTGGTGACAAATCATCCACAAGGAGGCGTCGACTCCCGTCTTCACAAAAGTTTTTTTCATCGAAAGGAGTAGAATCTAACACACACTTCTTCAATTTCCCTTCAAGTAATGATTTTATTTTACTTATAGGTGCTGACGGCGCCCATCCTTATCTAGCAGCTATTACCAGCATATGGTATCCTGTCCATTGTTTATTCCCTTCCGCGACCCCAGCTCCGTTTTTCTTCACTCTTCACCTCTCTCGTCGATACCACCAATGAGGGTGTTAGGGTGTCAACCTCCTGACTATGAGTTCCTCCCTTCAGATCAGTAGTGACCGTTCTGGCCGCTCTACTGCCTCGCCGGCGCTCACTCCATCAAGCCTGGCAGCATCCTCAACGGCCTCACCTCGTCCTCATTCGAGTGCGTCTCGGGCCTCTTTGGGACGGCGAAGCGTCACTTCTTCCTCTCGTAGAAGTGTAAACGGCTCCTCTTCAGCCCATGGTGGACGTTCAAGTGCTGCTCTACCGTCTTCCACGCCATCGGGAACTTCACGGCCTCGAGCGTCGTCACAGTCTCTTCCTCGACCCGCGTCGTCATCGTCATCCCGTCATAGACAACATCAAACACCGAACACTCGAACCCAGGCCTCCAGACGTACTGGCTCCACAGCCTCTGAGAGACGATCGACATTGTCATCGTCATCATTCCGGTCTACGCCGCCCGGGTTGAATTTCAGGTCTCTTAGACCCGTGGAGCCCCTTCTCCCATCTACCTCTTCATCGCGACGTGAACCTCAAAGCTCTCCAAAACTGCCGACTCTTCCAAGAGCATCGAATAGAGATCTTCGCCGATCCTCTTCAGCCACGCCGCTGACCGCGAAATCTTCGACTTCTCGCCGTCCTACCCAGACTGCTACGTTTTCTCGATACGATGAGGCAGAAGAGGAGAGGTACAGAGAGCAGACTTCCGATGCTCTGAACGAAGTCATTATGGCTGTCGATATGAACAGAGATGGAAAGGTCGGATGCGCATACTACGTCGTCCTGGACGAGACTCTGATCATCGAAGAAGATGTCTCCATGGGCGGAATCGAAACTGTGGCCACTATGGTACTCCAAGCACAGCCAACGACTATCATGGTGCCGAACAGAGCTCCTCAAACACTTACCGAGTTCCTCGAACAGGATGCTCAAAGGCTTGACGATGACGATGCCACCGATATTCGAGGGCTCTATATCCTTCGTCATCTTGCCAGTGCAGAGTTCGACTATGACGCAGGCAAAGAAGCGCTATCGGGGCTTTACAATGATTCCTCGTCCGGAGATGGGATACCGCCAGGGGAAGAAGACGAAGACGCCGTGCATTGCATTGGCTCTTCGAACCACAGGCGATTAATGCGCTTAGAGAAGACAGTCAATCTCAATAGCCATCTTTCCATTGGTTGCGCTGGTGCCGTGTTGAGTGACCTTGAGCGTCGCCGCAGCACTGAATATCTCGCCCCTGGTGCCGAGGCACCAATATCTTTCAGAGTCAAGTCAATCACCATGAGTTCGCCGTCAGATGTAATGCTCATAAGCGCAGACGCCTTGTTGTCACTACAGATATTGCGAACAGAGCTTCACCCAAACCCGCAGCTCCAGTGCCTTGGCGGCTCCGAGAACAAAGTCAAGGAAAGCCTCTCGATTGCAGGGCTCCTCCAAGCTCTAGCAGGCACGGTCCAGGGAAAATCAAGACTTCGTCAAATGCTCTTCCAACCAAGCATTGATGTCGACGTGATCGAGGGGCGACAGAGGAGTATTGCGGTCTTTCTCCGTCCCGAGAATAGTGATATCGTACAGAGCATGCGGAGGCAGTTGAAAAAAGTCAAGAACATCAAGGCCGCATTACATCATGTCAGAGGTGGTGTTGACCGAATCAGAGGGCAGCTATCCCTTCGGATCAACGACTGGAGGGCGCTTTTAAGGTTTACAATGCTTGCCACCCAACTAAGGGAGGACATACGTTCCCTTGTGGGAGGCCAAGATTTAAACATCTATGCAAAGGTGATTCGATATGCCACATACGGGGATAGTTGGATAGTCTGCTGACACACATGGTTTTCTACCAGCTCCAAGAGGATATTGACACTCAGGGTATTCTGCAGGCCGGCGAGACGATAGTGAACACTATCGACTTCAAATTATCACAAGACACAGGCCGAACAGAAATCCTACCAGGCGCTAGTGAAAGATTAGACGAGCTCAAGGACGACTATACTCAGGTGTACCAAATTCTTTCCGACGTCAAACGAGATGTTCTGACGCAAGTCCCCGGATGGGCTGTCCAATATGTCCAGGAATGTACAATAGTGCCCCGACTTGGGTTTCTCATTGCAGTGACCCTGAACCCTGAAACGGGAGAAGGTGCTTTCAACGGAAGGGGCATTGCTGATGACGAGTGGCGCCAGGTGGTGATGGACGAACAGCGGGCTTACTACAAGAACAGGACGATGGTTGAACTGGACGACATGTACGGTGATTTAACTGAGGAGATTGCCGGTGAGTTTCCATGACATCTATATATCAACTCCAAGATTCACATCTGACAGTAATCCAGATGAGGAAATCGAGGTGATAGTGGAGCTCGCGGCGGCTGTTTCAGAGCATGAAAATGCACTGATTCGCGCCTTGGAACTACTGGGGGAGCTCGACAGTCTGCTTGCGTTGGCTTTGGCTGCAGAGAAGTACAATTGGGCTCCACCAAAGATGACATCCGAGAATATCATTGACATTGAGGGCGGACGTCACCCACTTCAGGAGCTTCTCGTACCATCCTTTATACCCAATGACTGCTTACTCAGGGGTGGTTGCGGATCGGAAGATGGCGATGAGATTGACCTCATAGGCGTCGAAGACGAACCCAAAGAGCCATCGGCCTTAGTCTTGACGGGTCCAAACAACTCCGGAAAGAGCATCTACATGAAACAGGTTGCCCTAATCGTCTATCTGGCACACATTGGAAGCTACGTGCCCGTCACGCGTGCCACGATCGGAGTAACTGATCGAATTCTCACACGGGTTGCCACCCGAGAAACCGCCATGGACGACGAAAGCGCTTTCATGACCGATCTCAAACAAGCGGCCTTCTCCATCAACTTTGCGACCCGACGAAGCCTCATTCTCGCGGACGAGTTTGGAAAAGGCACCACCATGGAAGCCGGCGCCGCAGTCTTCACAGCCTATCTGTACCACTTCTTGGAGTTGGATGCGGATCGGCCCAGGATGCTCGTTAGCACCCACTTTCACGATGTGTTCAACAAAGGATTCCTAAGACCTGAAGAGGGTGTTGCGTATGCTCATATGGAAGTTCGACTGGACCCGGAGGCGGAAGAGAGTGAAGAGAAAATCACATATTTGTACCGTCTCGTTCACGGACGGGCTGAACACAGCCTGGGACTTATGTGTGCGGCGATCAATAATATCGAGGATGATGTGTTGAAGAGAGCGGGAGAGATTCTGGGCATGCTGGAAAGAGACGAAGATATTGAGGAGGTGTTTGCGAAATCCACTGATGAGGATATTGAGGCATTGAAGGCTTCGGAGCTTGTTGCCAGGCGGTTTCTTGCTGCGCATATACCACAAGGTGGGAGGGATACCTTGAGCGGAGTTGGCTCGATTCGGGATATGTTGAGGGAGATATTGTCACCTAAGGAGGATGGAGGAGAAGTAGGTGAGGTTGAATCTGAAGAGTGAATATTGAGGTGGATGTCAACTTGTAATCATAGTGTCTTGTTTGCTTGGAGATGATGTCGTAAATTTGTGTGGATGTTCTAAATCACAGGGCAACAAGATTGCGTCACACAGGTGCACACAACTCTCGTAGTTCAGCTCACGTCTCTTTCCTATGTACACCAGATGTGATATTGTGACATTACTCTGATTAAATAACTCGGACTGAGTTGTCCATCATCTATGTGACTCTCGAAGCTAGAGCCTTTGTGCGTGAGGCATAATAAACAAGTCACTTAGATGAGTATTGAAATGGAGAGCAATGTTAGGCAACTGGTTCAAAAACAGGTCATGATCTGAGTTCTTGGAGTACTAGATTTACATTTGTTTAAAGGTATCCAGATTCTACCACCGTTTATCGTTTGATGTATAATTATGAAGATACAAAACACCCTCTCTCACCAGTACTTGATCTCACCCGGGTATCATAAATGCCACAATGCCACGCCAATCACCTCTCTGTTCTCTGCTCTCCAACATAAACCATTACGATTCCCCTAACAAAACCATAAAAGCCCGCTTCCTGGTTTTTGTTATCTCGTAACTCATAACTCATATCTCATTCTTGCCTCCTCGCCCAACAACGGAGATCATCCCCCCTCCCCCTCTTCACACACCTCTTTTTCTCCTGTATATACATCCTCTCCCAAGTCGACCCGACCCACTCAATATCACTCCAGCTATGCAAACAAAATCCCCGCAACAGCCGAACACACAAGTGTCGATACCCAATGCAAGAAGGGAAGTGAAACCATGACGCCCATGACGGCAGAACTGGGGATCGGCCCAACAAACGGCCCATACGGACTCGAATCCGGACGTGGTTTTGGTGCGGGAGCAGACGTAGCTGCTTCGTTGGCTGGTTTGGTTGAGGAGGTCTGGGGTTGGAGCGTGGTAGCGCTGGTGGTGCTACTACTGCTTTCTGGGGCGGAGGTGGTGGCGTCTGATGGGGAAGAAGTGCTTGTTGATGATGAAGAAGTCGTTGGTTTCGTTGTTGTTGTGGTCGTCACCGCTGTTGGCGGAGACACATGCGTGGTAGTAATTGCCGTCACTGGCGGCGGCGGCGGCTGTATCGTAACCAGTGTCGTAGGCAAGGAAGGCTGGTGAACCGTGGTGGTCGCAATTGTTGGCGATGGGGGAAGGTTCTTCACCAGCCTGCTAGCCCACGCCTCAGCCATCTCCAGCTTCTCCTCGGGTATCGGTTGGCGAACGGATTTGCAACCAGCTTCCATGATGTCGATCAGAGTGTCGTCGGCACGGCGGAGCTCGGCTTCGCAGTAGTAGGACATGCAGGTCAAGGCTAGCTCGAGGAAGATACCCTTGCCTGAGAACTGGCACAAGCACCGCGGGTCGTCGGTGTTACAGCCGGAAACATTGACGCAGCTCTCGACGCAGGACGGGAAGGGAAATGTTGCCGGCGATGGTGAGGATGAGGACGATGTGGGAGATGCCCGGCTAGGTGTGTAAAAGAGTGATGAGCTGGCGCATATGAGCGCAAAACGAATGACTCTGTTTGATATCATGGTGTTGTTTGATTCGGCTTCACGGACGAAGGAGTGTGCTGGATGTGGTCGTGAGTGAGCTCCTTTCGTGAGAAGGATCGAGGTCAAGTTGTAACTCTTAAAGAACATGCATGGTGCCTGGAGGGCGTTAGACGATGAGGTTGGTGATGACGATGAAGACGCAAGCGGAAGAGACAGATATCAAGAGGAGGTTAGGAGAAGCAACCGCCAGGTGGTTGGAATCGGTTGGAATTCCCAGTGACATTCCAATGCCGCTGGCACTTCTTCACGATGACTGGCCGCCCGCTGGCATGGAAGACGGAAGCTTTGTCTCACTTTGTCAAGATCGCGTGCGGGGGCGCGTTGCCCAAGAAGATGGTGCTGGTGATGGCGCCCCCATTCTGAAACATGAAAGAGCAGGGCTATGTTGCCGTTTCGAGAAAGGGCAGCCAATCATTCAAATTTTCCAATGCAACGTCGTCAAGGTCGGGTAAGGACTTGAAGCCTGAGCGCGCTCATCTGAGTGATACGTATTGGAGTCATATTGTGGTGTACGGGGGCGTCCTATGCACTTTGCAAAGGTAGGTGAATCGCTCAGCATACTTGTCCAAATAGGGAATGAAATGAGGGTATTCAGAAGTATTGGATGGTGACTGAGAGAATCTTTCAAGTTTGTATTGGCCTGTACTGTGTATGTTGTGTAAGTAACCGTATTGAAGTCTGTCAGCGGATGACATGCCCCAGATCGCCTGTGGAGTGTGGGGAAACTCCCTTTTGGTCTAGGCCTCTCATCCGGACACTGTGTGCCGCGCTAGCCACAGTGCAGTGAATTGCACTATCCCTGACGGTATCGTGGGGCTTTTTTCTTATCGTGAGGTGCGATAAGCCCAAAATTTCCCAGTTTCCAAACACCACTGATCCCGTCACCTCGCTAGGACCGCAAGCTGCTAGTAAACAACGAACCGCCAACCTCACCTTACCTCGAACCGGCCAGATTCATCCGACAACATGGCGCCCACCAAGCCAAAAAACAAGTCCCAGAAGGACAAGGCGAAGGCGCGAGCCAGAACTGGCGCCGCTCAACCCTCGAATGTGAACGCGAGAGAACTGCTCAACAATGCGAGTGCGATGCTCGAGGTCGGCGACATTGAAAATGCGGCAAAGACAGCCAAGACCGCCTACAAGGCTATTGGCGAGGACGGAAAGCTGGCTGGCGCCGCCCTCTCCCTCTTGGGCCATATTTACGTCGAACTCGGCGAGATCGAAGCTGCTCGCGAGTTCTTCCTTGCCGCAGTCAAAACAGACGAGGATGGCACGCTCCCCGAGGATGTTGCCGGAGGCCCCGAGAAGTTCCTATGGCTTGCGCAGCTCAGCGAAGAAGGCGGACAAGACAGCGTTTCCTGGTACGACCGCGGTGCCTCTGCTTTGCGCCTCCAGATCCAGACTCTAAGCGACGAGCTTGAGAAGAGGCCCCACGGGAAGGAACAACAAGAGGCTCTTATTACCGAGAAGAAGAGACGGCTTGCGGCAATCCTCTGCGCCGTGGCAGAGGTTTACATGACCGATTTGAGCTGGGAGGAGGACGCCGAGCAGCGATGCGAAGCTCTCATCACCGAGGCCATCATGCTAGCACCCGAGCTGGCCGACACCTGGCAAACCGTTGCCAATGTTCGCATTTCTCAAACAAGAGTGGACGAGGCTAAGGAGGCTTTGAGGAGGAGTATGGCACTGTGGGAACATCTTGAGCCCGAGGACCCCAACGTGCCACAGTTCCCTACTCGGGTGAGCTTGGTCCGACTACTGATTGAGGTTGGAATGGAGGAGAAAGCGATAGACGTCGCAGAGCGCTTGATCATTGAAGATGACCAAGCCGTGGAAGTCTGGTATCTGAGTGGTTACGGCCGATATCTCCTGGGCGAGAAGATCAAGAATGGAGAACTGCAAGCTCCCGAAGGCGAGACATGGCAAGATGTCTGGCGCTTGTCGCGCAAGTACCTTGCCCAGTGCCTCCGGACATACGCGGCCATTGAGTACGAAGATGAGAGGCTCGGAGCACACGCACAAGAATTGCTGGACTCCATCAGGGGTGAGCTTGGTGTTGTTGGTGCTGAGGAAGATGAGGTTTGGGAAGATACAGATGTTGAGGAGGATGAAGATGAGGAGATGAACTAAAGGGGCCGAACTGGCTTCGTCTCGTTCATCTTCTAACTATACCGCGTTCAGTTGAGGCGTGTTTTTCAAGCAAACTGTTTATGGCATATCCTGGAGTCTGGTTAAGAGGGAAAAAAAAAGTAATGTTCGGGATTGGTTTTCACACGGGTTAGGTAACACGTATACTTGAAGCGGAATAGAGCGTAGACCCCTAACAAAGAATTAGATAATTTGGGCGAACATGATGGAGGGCTTTACTATTTGTCTAAGTGTCCTAAACCGTGAGTTTCTGGACCTCTTCCACGGGGACGTCTTCATCGCCTTCCAGGTCCTCATCACCCTTCCCAGCCAAGCCCCTCTCCCAGAGTTGTTTACCCGTGAGCTTGACAGGCTCCTTTATCCTTGCCTTCTTCATCTCGGCCGCCTTTTCCTCCTCCTCCTTGATCCTCTGATCTTCCAGTTCCTGCAAAAAGCTGTCCCTCCACTTCAAAAAGGTTTCGCGATTGACGGGAGTGCCCTGGAACTTCTTGTTCTCTTCGCGCTCCGCGGCAAGGGCGGCCTCCTCTTGCGCCTTGATGGCAGCGTCCCTCCGCTCTACTGCCAGTTGCTCCGCAGCATCCTTCAACGTCGACACAACAGTAAAGATCATAGCCATCCCCAAGTTCTCCTCAATTGTCTCTTGGATGCCTTCGAGCAGCTGGAACCTATCTTCGGCAATGTTTATGTACTGATGGGGCGGTGCATTCGGGGCGGGCGCAAGCTCGAGGGAAGGTGGCTTGTCGGGATAGTCTTCGGGGTACCGTACGGTAAGGACCATGCTTGGCGCTTCTTCGGCATCGTCATCGGGAATGTCCAGTGTGATAGAAATCCTGTACTCGGTATCGGAGATATCTAAACAAGTCGAGCTCGGGTTAGGACAGGCCCATGCCTGAACGGCAACCGAAGTGGGCGAACAATCGAACCTTGGATCTCATCTGGGAAGATGGAGTCGAGGACTTCCCTCTCTTCGATTTGCTCTTCGCGACCCATGATGTTCAATTCGGTACAAAACTTGAGTGTATGGACTGCGACAGACTTCCAGACAGATGCTGGCAATGTTGACTTTCAAGGCGTTTAGCGAAGAGGAGGGGCACAGTGACTGCAGCGTGCAGGCCAAACTCCAAAATGCGAGCGCGGCTCAATCCATGGTGGGTCCCGCCTGGGTTCCTTGTTATCAATGGACAGTTCCAGACAGTGTCAATCCAGCCGCCCCACTACAAGACCCCAGTAGAGCTCCTCACCGCCCGGCAGATGCCAGGATGCGGATCCAGAAATTTTCAGCGGAAACATGCTGCAGAATTTCCAATTCAGAGGCTTCAGATACAGGGTACTCCAAAGTTTTGGATTCTGAATACCTGCACTTCATTCATTCCTGCTCGACCACTACCTCTGAACCAGCGCCCACCCGGAATCCAAATCAACACGACCTCCAATTCGAGATCAACTATCCATACCCCGGAGCAACACAGACATAACACAGCAGTAATGGCGACCAAGTCGTCTTCAGCAGCCGCTGCCGGCGGAAAGAGAAAGGCGTTCGGCAAGCACAACGAGGATGGCCGTACGAAGGCAGCAAAGACCATCTCTGGCAAGAAACACATCAAGGCCGAAGCCGAAGACAACGAGTCCTCCGATGAAAGCTCAGACGTCGAGTTCCACACAGAAGAGAACACAACATCCACGCCTAATGAGTCCGGCAATGGCTCCAACCAGGCCAAGTCTGGTACGTCGCCTCTCTTTACCATATCCGCTCCATGATGACCGAACCTCGATCTGTTCTTTGACTAACACAACGCAGGCACAAGCTCTAGGGAGGCGCACGCCAAGCAAAAACAAGTCGCCCAAGAACGCAAGAACGCGAAGCCGCTGGCCGATGAGGTGCACCGTACCAAGAAGCTGTGGGAGAAGCTCCGTCGCAAGTCGCATGTGCCCAAGGAGGAGCGCCAACAGCTCGTCGAGGAGTTGTTTACCATCATAACTGGCCGCGTCAAGGACTTTGTCTTGAAGCACGATGCTGTCCGTGCCGTCCAGACCGCCGTCAAGTACGCCACCCCGGCTCAGCGCAGGCAGATCGCGAAGGAGCTCCAAGGAACCTATGCCCAGCTCGCCGAGAGCAGGTATGCCAAGTTCCTGATCGGCAAGCTTTTGGTGCAGAACGACAAGGAGATCCGCGACCTTATCCTCCCCGAGTTTTACGGCAAAGTTCGCAAGCTCATCAACCATGCTGAGGGTTCGTGGATTCTGGACGATGTCTACCGCGGTGTTGCGACCAAGGAGCAAAAGGCCAACCTCCTTCGCGAGTGGTACGGTCCCGAATTTGCTCTGTTCAGGCAACCCAAGGGCACCGAGGTCACCGGCGATCTTTCCAAGATTTTGGCCGACGAGCCCAGCAAGAGGACAACGGCGATGAAGTACCTTTTCGACATGGCCAATGGTCTCATTCAGAAGAAGATGACTGGTTTCACCATGCTCCACGACGCCCTGCTGCAGTACTTCCTCAACCTTAACCCCGAGAGTGACGAGTTCAAGGAGTTCTTCGAGACTATCAAGGAGGACGAGACTGGCGACTTGCTCAAGAACATGGCATTCACCAAGTCGGGCGCTCGTCTTGTGTGCTTGCTCCTTGCGCACGGAACCGCCAAGGACCGTAAGCAGTTGCTCAAGGCCTACAAGGACACCTACCAGCTCATGAGTGGTGACAATCACGCGCATGCCATCATCCTCGCGGCCTACGATCTTCTCGACGACACTGTTCTCACATCCAAGACGATCTTCTCCGAGATTCTTGGCAAGGATGCCGAGCACATTGCTTTCCTCGCCAATGACCTCAACGCGCGCACGACGGCACTATATCTCTTTGAGGGAATGTCGAAAGCATTGTTCCCCGCCAGCCACGCCACCGACCTGGAGATTCTGAAGGAAATTCACGAGATCCGCACCAAGACCAGTAAGAAGGACCCTGAGGTTAGGCGTAAGGAGTTGGTGACGGCCATGTCGCCTCAGTTGCTTGCGGCCATCGCAAGCTCCCCCGCTGATCTGGTGGCCACCTCCTTCGGCTGCCAGTTTGTTACTGATGTTTTGCTCTCGGCAACGGGCGATAAGAAGGCCGCGTTGGAGGCTATTGCCTCTACCGCTGGTGGCGATCCCAACGCCGAGGCGCCCGAGGATGCCTACCAAGCCCTCCCCCCTCACATCTCGACTACTATTCATGGTGGCCGCATGTTCAAGACTCTGATTTCCGGCGGCCGGTTCGACAAGGCCACGGGCAGCATCCAGAAGGTCGACCCCCCGCTCAACTTTGCCGATCTTTTCTATCCCGTCATCAAGGACTACGTTGTGCAATGGGCCACCGGCCCTAGCTCTTTCACAGCGCTGGGTCTGCTCGAGGCTTCCGACTTCTCCTCGAAGAAGGAGCTTCTCAAGACCCTCAAGTCTAACAAGAAGGCTCTCACCAAGGCCGCCACTGAAGCACCAGCGCCGAAGAAGGAAGAGACGGAGGAGAAGCCAAAGGCCAAGAAGGGCAAGAATGCCTCTGCCCCCAAGGGCAACCAGGGTTCGAAGCTCCTTTTGGAGAAGCTTGAGGCTTAGGTGGAGGAGAGTGTAAGAGTCTCATGGTTATAGTGACAAAAGTGGACGGTGGCCACAGGTTGACTAAATACCCCTTTTATGTTGTTTACTTTGTCAATGCGATTTTGTTGGGCCCCGCGTAATTTGCGGATGATTGATAGCCCTGTTTACATATCTGGACATGATATTTATGACTGTATAGAGAAAAGCTTATTTCCGGACTTCATTAATGGCTCAGATGTGACATTTGATACTGACCTCTCCATACCCACATGGCGTTGTAGAGGCAAATTGCTGTGCAACCCTTTTGACTGCGGTGCCGGGACAAACAGGTGTCGAGTTCACCGTTACTTGATAGCCAAGTGGCGCTTGGAAGTCATAGGAAAGAAGAAAGCCGTCTCAAGGCTACACTAGTGCAAGGCCGCGTACATCTTTCGTGCACCGGCCAGCTCACCGGGCGGCCATCGACCGGACGACCTTGCGAATTCTGGTGTTCTGGTAGGTTGGACGAGGGTTTCTGAACGTGTTGCCAGCGGTGGGTGTCCTCGGTTTGCGTTTCGCCAGATTCCAAAGCCTCTCTCCCTTTTTGCAAAGATCAGACGAGGCGGGAGGCTTGAAGCCGGCATCAACTCTGCTGACCGGGTTGAACTTGACGAAGGTATGGGATCATCACCTAGTGTACCCCCTTTCATCCCAGGTACCTGCGCTCCCGAGGGTAGCCACCTCTCCCGAATTTCCGGGCACCAGCGGGGAGACCACGGCCGGGGCTGCACGCGAGTGCCCCATCGTTCCTTCCTCAGGCTGCCTTCACTTGCTCTTTCCCACTTTGGCGGTTCGTCCCTCCAGTTCTGACCGTCCACGAGTGCCACTCACTCTTGCTGTTTGCTTTCCCCTCTTCCTTTCCTTCCAACTCCCATCCCCATTTCCTCCTCCTCGAGGCGACACTTTCCAGGTTGCAGCAAATTCCAGCTCTGCGGTAGCCGCCCCCCTTCGTCGCCGTCACCACTTCCAACGCGACTTCGACCTCGATCTCAGACTGTTCTTGTACCCAAACACCTTCCCCATCATCCATCGCGACAACTTCTCAGGCACGACCAGCCTCTCGCACCCGACAAAGTAGCAGGAAGCCATGGAGTTGGGTCTGTCCAGAAAGCCTCCTCGCTTGCGCCTCCCAGAAGCAGCCCCGATGGTCGTTCAGAGGGGTGGCGGAGACTGCCCAAAGGATTACCAATGGTACACTTGTAACGTGGCCCAAGGCATTCCCTATTCGGGCTGCTGCGCGATGGATCCTTGCCGTCCGGATATGGTCGATTGCCCTGATCGGTACAAACCTGATGATGATATCACGTCTACAACCATCGTCATTACCAGTACAGAATCTCCCAGCACAGAAACTCACTTCACCACTATCACTTCCTCTGCCAGATCGGACCTTATCCCAACTCTGACTTCCCACTCATCGTCAACAGGCACTACTGGTAGTGCTTCCTCAACCGCTAGCGCAACGGTCACTGCTACTCCTGATGCGCCGCCCACTGTAGTCCACAAGGAACTTTCAGTTGGCGCGATAGCAGGAATCGCAGTGGGATGTTCCCTTGCCTTCATCTTCTTCGCCATCTCCGTTTGTATGTGGTGGGGTCGGCGCCGAGCGAAGAAAGATGAGAAGAAGGACAGCGCGGACACTGCAAACGTTTCGTCGTTTCTCGGTCCAACCGACAGGAACAACCCAGTCGAAACGGGACAAGAAAAGAATGTGTCCCAGTCTGGCTCCCGTTTCCCACTTGGAAGCTACCAACCAGTCCCCACAGGTGTTCCTTACGAATACATAGGACGAGGTAAGCGAACTCCATTCCCCAAGCGTCAAACGCAACGCAGTCGCACTGAGTCGGTAGGGATTTCTATACTGACAACAACTCTTTAGACGTGACAAGCTCGGCATCCACGACCAACACGAACTGGCCAGGCTCGCCGATGGACTACGAGAGTCACCGTTTCAGCGGAGCGACGACCATGTCGACCCCAGCGAGCCACAACAGCGGAAGCACTCCGGCCAGCCCGAACTTCCAATCACGAGGGGCCTCGGAACTCGACACCAACCAGGCGTACCAGCAGGGTGGATGGGGCACAAGGTTCGAACCAATGCACGAAATCCCCGAGCTTGAAGGCAATGAAAGGCCACCACAACACTCCCAAGGCCCGAACAACTAGCGAGGACTCACTCCATTGTGGTGAGCAGGGAGACACGATAGCTTGGTTTTGTGGTCGATAATGAGACGGGTTTCTTAAGGGGCCATAATATACAGCCACACAAGAGACGATGAAGAATGCGATAGGCTTCCATGAGAGAAGCAACCTCCAGAACGAGACGATATTGAAGGAACGGGCTATGGTCGAGTATCATGGGTGATTTGGACTGTTAATCTAGGCACATCAGTTGCGCAGGTGAGGGTGAGGACACTTACTCCGGCTCACTAGGATAGTGTCCTGGCCCTAACCTCGCCTGGAAAAAACCAACCACTTCAATGGGATCACCCGAGCGAAGGACTAGAATGATGTGATGAACAAGAAATAATAGACGGTCTAATTGATCAAAAAGCGGCCCTTAGACGCCAAACCATGCATTTTCCCCTTTCCGTGACCAGTCCTGACAACGACGATGATCCAGCTTGTGGCCCGAAAGTCCTTTTTTCAAAACAAGCTTACCGGTTTCCCACACTGTTCGATCATCTTCCAGCGAGGAAGTTATGTAGTGTGTCGTAAGAAGCATTTTAACAGATAGAAACAGAGGAGAGGAACAAAGAAAGCAAGCCAACCCACATTTCCCAATTGCTGTACTAATTAATGACTCTCTCAGGTGTGCCCTCCTAGGTGCTCATGAGCTTGGCCATCTCATCCAGCAATTCTTGTAGGTCCTCGTCTTTGATCTTGTCCGCCAGGGAGGGGATCAGCGTCTTGCACTCGTCGGCACTATCGCAACAGAGTGATCCTAGATAGCCACAGAAACAGAAACAGTCAGCAAGTCACATACATCTTCACTCAACAACAAATGTTCCCCATCCTCCAACTCCACTTCCCCTGGAACGAGAGAAAGAGAGAGAAAACATACCAATCTGCGCCCTCTCAAACTTGGTCAACTCCTTACGCGCGCTCAACAACCTCTCCACGGCCTCCACGTTCTCCTTCTGCTTGAAGCGCGCAAACGCGTCCAGGTAGTCGAGCGTCTTGTTGAGCACGTCCGTCTCGTTGCGGTCCTTGCGGTCCTTGCGACGCTTAGTCATGAGCGCGTTGATGACGAGGGAAGCCTCTGAGAGGGTGAGCGTGTCCACGTCCTGGAACTCGCCCAGCTTGAGCACCGCCGAGGCTTCCTCCTCGCCGGGAGGGGGAGGCTTGGAGCGCGAGGTGGGTGCGTGGTGTTGGTCCGACATTTTCTTGCTTGGTTGGGGGGTTCGTTCGTTCGTTCGTTCACTTGTGTGTGTGTGTGTGTTTGGTGTGGTGTGTCGTCTGGGGACGGGAGCGCGCGCCGCTGGCTGGCTGGCTGGCTGGCTAACCTGGCGTTTCAGAGGAAAGAGATCGGTATTCGGATTGATGCGCTCGCTATCGAGATGGGCTTTGATCCAAGTTGCCGATGTGCTTGACCGGCAGTGAGCCTCGTGGAGTTTCTTGTCTTGTTCGCGACGCCTTCGACGTTGAGTTGTTGTGTTCTTGTCCTCCTACTGAACCTTCCAAAATCCAAGCTACGGTTGTCGCGCTCGAGCGCTGCTGCTGGTACCGGGTGCGCCGTTCGAAGATAATGGCACTATAATTCGGTGATTCGATAAAACGTCTGCTTGAAGTGTCGAGGTGTGGTTGTAGGCTCGTATTTTTGGCAGTTATGACAGATATGATTTGGCGTTGAATGGTAAGGTTGTTACGCACCAGGAATTGTCACTGGGAGGTTCCAGGTTGGGGGTCGTTGTTTGCCGGCCGTGTCTCCTGTGCGACACCGCATTCACTGTGCAAATGGAACCGACAGAACAGCGTCATGTTAATACACACAGCGTAAGATACAGTCATGCATATTTCGTCAAATGAACCGGTATCAATACCACTAACATCTACAATACACCCCTGGAAAGTCCGTTAGCTCGAGACCTCTAGTCAACTTGTCCAGGAGTTTCCACATCCAGTTTATGTGTTGTCTTCGATGACACGGAATTAAGTTAGTATGAATATGTTAAATGAAGTACTGCTAATCTATGTCTGGCTGATAATTATGCATTTCAAAGTATCATTACAGCGTTCAGGACGGGTTGGTATGAGTCTTATTCCGCCAACCAAGCTAACCAAGAAACAACGAACAGGGGGGGTGTTGACAACTTGCCTTGTTTGTAATTCAACCCAACTCGCACTAGGAGACTGGAATTCCAGTATTGATCCAAAACCTGCGCTTAGCCATGTTTTCATATTTATATCTTTGTCATCTACGTTCTGTGCGGAATATCTGGGAACTGGTGGGTATTCATGCCGAGCCAAGCGTTTACACCCCCCATCGTGACATGACACTCGGCGCTCTGTCCTGCAGACGGAATGAGAAGGACATGATGGTTGTTCAACATACGAGTTACTCTCCCCTCTTCGCCCAAGGCTGGCGGCTCCCTGGGCCCTCTGTTTCACTTCCGCTTCGTTCCACACGCCCGCGCTGTCTTCTTCATGGGGTCTTGGAAAAGTCGATATGCCGAACCGGGCGTAGCTCTTCATAACTGCTACTCTCCCCGCAAAACTGCCTCCCAATGCATCCATGACCTATACGTGCCCTGGTCTTCAACCCGACTATCCGCCTCGCTCTTCCTAAAGACGCCACCATGCCCCAGGCCTCGACAGATCGAGCGCGAACAAACCAGAACCGCGAACGCTCCCAGTCAGACTGTGGAACGAGAGGCATAATAGTCTCAGCAGTTGTGTGAAGGGAATCCCAATCTCATCCATCCTCCCGCCTTCGTTATTCTGCCTACAACGCGGAAAAGACAAAAAGCTATAGGAAAAATGGTTAGCTATCAATAGGGCCTAGATGAAGACGCGACCAAGAACTAGCGGGGCAAGAACTTACGTTGTTGGTTGCTGCGATGGCGATGCTGTCCTCGAACGGATGCCAGCTCATATGGAGAATCTTCTTATTGAAGTCGATTTGGTCGGCGTCTGTCTCTTTGCGCATCCTTTGGCCCTGGCCTGCCGCTGCCGGGCTTCCTGCCCGTGAATTTCCCTTCTTACCACCGTTAGCTGTAGGACTTGTCGACGAGTTAATGGGTGTCGGCACCCCAACTTTCTTGGCCTTGAACGCCGACTTATCCGCTTGCAGGACGACCTCCACCTCCTTGTCGGGATCCGATGGGTAGATCATGAAGTTGTTGTTGTAGCTTCCTGTCATTACGTTCTTGGCGTCTCCAGAGAATACAACCTCGAATTTGTCAAAGATGCTGTCGTTTTCGTATGTGTCGCAGAGTCTCGGCCTGAGGTGTTCGTGAATGGGGATCGTCTTGACTGGCTGCCGCTCCATGTTGACGTCCCAAATCTTGACCGTCAGGTAGTCGCGGGAAAGGATATACCGGCCGTCGTGGGAGAATCGAACGTCGGAGATGGAAGATATGATTTCAGAGAAGAAAGACCGGGACGATGGGTCCTCTTCTTGTTCGAACACTGTATCGGAAAAACGAATTGTAAGCAATGGTCAGCGGTAGATAGAGGAGAAAACATTCTCCAAATACGGTTCACCAAAATTCAACGTACTCTTTGCGTGCTGGTCGCACAACGCCCTTTCGCGCATATCTGCCAGCTTGATTGTGCCCTTGGAACTGGCATACATGAACCAGTTGCAGCTCAGAGGGTGGAACTCTGCGGCCGTAATGACCTCTGTCAATTCCTCCATGTTCGCCGGCTTGATGTCCACAATGTTGAAGCTCTGGTCCTGGATATTCAAATTCCATAGGTTGATCCGCAAATCATCGCTGCTGATGAAGGTCTCGCCATCGCTGTTGACGGAAATGCTGTTGATGTGGTACGCATGGGCATTGGCATATGTTCTCCGAGGCACGGCGGCAACGACTGTGTCGTGGTGGGTAAGCCTGGGTAGCTTGAGATCGGCGGGACTGCGAAACTGAGCATGAGGTAAGGCACGGGGTGCGCCTCCACCGCCGGCCACGTTTGCAGGCGTCAAATCATGGGATAGGTTGTTCTCGGCGACAACCTTAAGCGACTTCTCGAACACCTTCCATAGCTTGATCGTCTTGTCGTTTGTCGAGAGGAGGTAGTGGGAGGCATTTTGTCTCCTGCACCACTTGATTTTGTTGATCTTTTCCTCGATTTCAAGAGACTTGAGGTAGTCGAACTCGGGCTCGTGGGACTGGAATTCGGTATGGAACTTGTACTCGCAGGTTTTTTTCTGTCGACAGGTAAGCAAGATATAGACAAGTGGCGGGCCAGCAGGTAGGCCGGAGGGGAAAGGGGGAGTTCTGCAACTCCACTAACCGTCTCGTTCCGTTCGAATAGCACGACTCGTCCACCCTTATCACCAGTCGCCAAGTAGTTTCCGGTGTGGTCAAATTCTACCGTGGAGATGATATCGGCTGGTAAAGGCGGGTCAGCATGGCCGAGGATATTGATGACGTGAGGAGGGGCATTGACGGGCTCCTGGTCGAGGGACCCGTCGTGGGAGGAGGGGTGGGTCGTACCTTCGGTGATGTCCTCAACATCTCCCTTGTCGCCGAAGCATCTGTAACAAAATCTCAGTACGATGAAGTGATGCAAACGCAGGAAGACGAGGCGACGTCTCGTGCAAAGAAGAGCGATGACGGAGAAAGGCGTAGGCCAACGTGGAGCGGAGATCGGACCCAGACGTGGGCGCGGGTGCGGGCACAGGGACAGGCACGAGCGCAATCGCACCGAGACGGACGCTCGCGAGGCAGAAGTCGATGGGAATGGAAAACAAGACGGAGGGTCAGGGAGGAGTTGGACTTACTGGGTGAACTTCCATGTCGGAGAGTTGGTATCTGTTTCCACCATCTTCAACGATTCCCGGGGCCGTGGGCGATTAGATCCCCACCTCTACCAGATATTGGACAAGGGCGACGAGCGGACGGAGGGACAGACGGGCAACGATGGCAAGGGACGGCGTTCCCAATGGCGATGATGGACAAGAAGAGATTTCACGAGCTCCGAGGCGCGAAATCAAGGGATGGCGGAGAGACGGGAGTTGGAGATCTGGAGTAGAGGTGCCCAACAGAGCCCGGGTCAATACAGGTAGGTGCGCTATGGATGTTGTTGCAGGGAGCGTATGTATGGATGAAGGTAAGGGTTGGGTAGGGAAGGACGGGAGGAGGGCAATAAGCAGCGAGCGGAGACTTGGTAGGTGTTGAGGTAAGGTATGTACCTGGCTAGGTGGTGGGCGGTCGGGTGTGGTGGAAGCAGAGCCCGACCCGAGTGGTAGTAAGGTACGTAGGGCGACGAGAGGAGGCAGCTGGGCGGAGGAGGACCTGAAGGGACCGGGATGGAGGGTGTGAGGCTCAACGGCCAGACGTATAACTAGTAGTGCAGCGAAGCGATTGAGGTGCAAACCCAACTGAAAGGGTTTTGTCGCAGCGACGGGACCTGGACAAGACCGACGGGAGGTGTGTGGGCGCCGACCGAGCGATAATCTGACGTTGCTTCCTGGGAGCTACCTCTAGGCGTGGGCCAGCTTCGTGGTGCTGCAGGTGCGCAAAGCCAAGTGATGGAGATGCGGGGTACGTCAAGTCGAGTGCTGTATGCGGATATGGCGTAAATTGTTGTTGTTGAAGGTCAATGTTGTTGCCTTTGCAAGATTGAGCAAAAGATGGTGGATGGAGATGGAGATGGATGGGCCGAGACGTGGGAAGGAGCAGCGAGACGACCTCTGGGCAGGGCAGTTAAGCTTTGATTGAAGGGAATGACGAGCTAGTTAGCGAGGTACGGAGTGGGCACGGGGTGGATGGGCGGGCGCCGAGGTACCCTTTACTGTGGTGGTCAGGTTGGCCCCTCCCTCCTCAACATGGGGTCAGCCCATGCCCCTGTGCGTTGAAAACGCGGTGTCAGTCCCCACTTTTGAATTGAGCCGCCAGATACATAAACATACATCAATATTAATATACCAGACCTTCGAAATCTATAACTTCGTCGTTTTATACTCGATTTACACGTAAATTTAACGATTTTAACTGGATTTTGGAAGGGAAAAGATTTAAGATAGTTATAGCAATAAAGCACTATATAAATAACCAGCAGCGCCAAACGATATACGTAATACTAGTTACTGGCGAGCATCCTCGTAAAATTGTATATATTATTAGTATTAGTGAGCAGTAGGTTTGGAGATTGAAAAAGAATTACGATACGATTAGGTAATTATATCCCTAATTTCGTTTAATATTTAACGCAATTATATTAGCGCCTTAGGTTATAGAGGTTAGTCTATTATAGTTAGTTGTATACGATAGCTTTAAATTATATTTAATTTACTATTGTATAGGAAGTTCTCGAGTTCCTTCGATATAAACCCGATCTATACCTCGATGAGATATAGCACTTTTTAGCTAGCAAATTAAATATATACGTATTACGGTCCGCTATATCGAAGTAATTGAAATCTTCTAATTGGAGTAATAAGAGGATGGCCTATAAAGCCTCCTAGCGCAATGAATTATTGCGGTTAGATTGGTTGAGGAAGATTTCTAAATTCTTTATAGAAATATACGTTTTTATAACGAATTTAGTATCGATAAGAAGGATGGTGCTCGTTATATAAGATAAGCGCTAAAGGGTATATTTTTATAATTAGAGAGCGCGTTAATTAGGGGTAAACGGTTCTAGCTATTATTAATATTAATTATAGATAGCTTTATCGCTATAATATATTATAAAGGAGTAATAGATACGAATAGCTTTATTATATAGTTAAAGGAGGAGGTGCTCCTTAAACAAATTCCTTCCTTGCCCGGTATAGTATTTTAATAATAGATAACGTATTATAATATAAATACCCCTTTATTAAAAACGCGTACGATAATAGAAATATATTACTTTAGTTTTTACTACTATACTCTTTAAGTTTTAACCCTATTAAGGTTTATTTTAATAATATAAAGGTATATATAAAGTGGTTATATTAGTAGGTTGGCGGTAACCAATTAAAAGAGGGCGAGATTAAGAGCTTCTTTAAAGGAATAATGCGGGTAATAGAGTAGGAGGTTTATATTATACAAAGGTATTACCGTTAAGCGTACGTGCCCTTTAACGAATTTAATGAGGCTAGCGAGTTAAAGGATTATGTTGTGTTGTATAGGAATTAATTATACGAATTGAAATTAATAGGAATGGTAGTATAAGATATTAAATTATATAGTAGATATACCGAATTGAGTATGGTTAGAATTGAGTGTAGTTAAATGCCTAATTGAGTAATATAAAATGAAAAAAAAAGTAAGAAAATAGCGTAAATGTGTAATAATAGTAATAATAATGATAAAAACCCTTAAAGTATTAGAAATATTGGAAATTCTTTAAAATCAATATAATTTATAAGTATAATAGGTGGAATTTAAATTTTAAATTATAAAATCGGTTTAGGGATAGAACCTTAACTCCTTCTTACTGGAAAGTATTAGTATAATATTAATATTATTTAGGTAGTTTCGTTTGGATTTAGGCGTCGGTTTTAGGTGGTTTGTCGGTTTTCTCGTAGAATTTAATAATATCCTTAAACGTGATTTTATTAATTGAGATATTATTAACCGCAAAGTAATCGTCAATAACTTTTTCGTAGTTGGGAAAGTTTTTATTTTTGCCAGTAAGGTGGATAGAGTTAATTACCTTTATTATATGTAGTATATCTTTATTTCCTTTACTAACTAGAGTATTAATTTTTTAATAGAAATAATTCTTAAAGAATTATTTATACTTTTAACCTCTTCTTCCTAATATTCCCTTTATTATATTTTTTATTAATTCGTTATTAATATTATTAAGGTCTAAGGCTCCTCCTTCCTCCTTTATTTTATCTTCTTTAACTATTCTTTTAATATTTTCCTCTATATTAATTCGTATTGTTCGGATAATTTATAATTTGTACTTTTTAGTTAATTAATTAAAATTTAAAGCGGATAATTCTTTAATATCATTAGGGTTAATAGGACCCTTAGGGATATTATAAAACCTAATTAGCATCTGGTAGTTAATATTACCGGTACAAACCTTTCTAATTATCCGGTAAAGTATTAAAAATATATAAAATCCGGTCGGGAGCAAGGCGGCAAATATAAATATTTAGCCTGGGCCGTTAGGGGTTTTACCGATAAGTAAAATTTTTAATTAGTTAGCGATTCGATTCTTAAAGCGGTTAAACTATTAACAAGCGGCCTTCTTTATAATTATAGAAATAGAGAGATCGCGCGCGGACTCTAATTATAATAGTTTTAGTTCCTTTTCGTTAGGAATTTCCTTATAAGAAGGCTTTTTATATATAGGGCGCGTACTAGCTATTTTCGGGGGTATTGAAAGGGCGTATCGTTTAATTAACGGAGTGTAACGAAAGTAAATTAGAATTCCGTAAAGGAAGTAGCTACGGTATTCGTAGGCGGAATTAAAACGAAGGGAATTATTAGGCTAATCGATATTAGGAATATAGTAAATTAATTAAGGGTGGCTTAAGATAATAGAATTATCCTTTATTAAATTATAAATAAATAAGTCGATAATTTCGTAATAAACGCCTACTTATATTATTAATTTTAAGAAGTGGGTAATATTACTTTTAGTATAGCCGTCAGTGAAATAAAGGAATTTGGGGGTTACTAGTTTAAAATAAAGGAGTTGGTAACGATAAATAAAACGATAGTCGATAAAATTAAGAGTAGTATAACCGTTGTTAACGAGGGCGGAATAGTATAATTTATACGGTCTATAAGATAAGTAAATAGAAAGATTTAATAAATTAGGGTATTTATAACGGTCATTTATTAAAGATTTATTTATTTTTATAATATTTAATTATATAAGGATAGGCCCTTATTTTCTTCTTTATCCTATAAATTAATAATTCCAAGCGTAATTTAGTTAGGAGGTTATATATTTTCTTAGTTATAAATAGAATTATTTTCGTTGCCTATAATAGGGTCAATAAAATTGGGTTAGTAAACGGAGACCGGGTGGTAATAGCCGCCGGGGTTAGGGGTACTGGGAGTTAAAGTACTTATTAGTATATTTATAGGAGGAGCGGTACTTATAATATTAATTTAATAGCTACCGCCATTGTAGGGACATTAGTAATTATAGCCGTATTAACTTTAAGTAAGTTATTAATTACCGTTATTACCGCTACTATTATTATTATTATTATTATTGCTATTTCTATTTTTATTCTTATTTTTATTACGGTTAGAAAGTTTAATTTCCTTTTTAAATTAATACGAAAATAGTATTCGGCTAAGAAGTGACCCTTTTTACTATAGTAAGTATATGTTATGGGGCTAGAGCTTAGGGGTTAAGCTTAGCTATTGCCAAGCCGTATCCTACCTTATTAATAGGGTCCCTACCTTATTAATAGGGATGCGAGCCTTCTAATTGGCTAGACTTATATACTTGCCTAGCCCGTACGGTCTTAACACTAATTATACAAAACCTTCTTTCGATTATACCCTTTTAGCACAATCTTTCCTCTCTTTCTTTCCTTATTAAATATAGCATTTCAACCTTACACAACTACTTACTATACTTTATTCTTACAAACCTATTATATTATATTTAACCCTCTTTTTTAATACTCTATTATATTTACTATTTTTTCGCGAATACGCCCAAAAAATCTCCCTCTTTATACTACTCTCATTTCCCTTAATAATAATACCCCTTCCTCTACGTCTCTCGTATCACCTCCCTTTCGCCAGTACGCTAAAAGAATCTCTACCGCTCTTACAATCCCTAATAATATTCTTCTTACTCAATTTACCCTATTCGTTTATAATTTATCTTAATTTTAACTACTACTACCCAAA